TAATAATCTCTGCCTTGAGCGATGGGATGTAACGACATTAGTTCAATTCTTAAATAAGCTTAACTTCGCACGTATGTTTTATTGCATTGATAATGAAGAATCTATGATCTGATTTCATTACCTCCTTGTTTTAGCTCAACGAAAAGTACCTTCACAGACCTTTGCGGCATAATAGAGTATTATCATTCAATTGAATCCTACTTGAGAAAGACATGACCTGAACTGGCTTGAAAGAAGAGGTAACTAAAAGACGTGTGATTGCTTTGTTGGGAAATTATAACCTTTCAATTGTAGTTTTAATACTATTTACACTATTGCAAGTGTAATTGAGCTTGCCAATAGTACACTACAGACACTTGACATATAGGATTTAGATGCCACGAATAAATGCAATAACTTTCAAGATGATGATGTCCCAGGCCAAATTTTACAAGATTTTTCAACAGAGCGTGGTTTAACAAGCTTTTCAACATTGATGCCAGTTGCCAGTAAGAAAACACAAGGAAAAGATTGCAGGTAGAGCACAGAGCACGACAAATTACAACTGGAAGATACAGTTGCTCAAATTCTGTTTATTTCAAAAAAGCTCATGTTTGTTTTTTGAAAGTGCTTTAACTATCAACTTAGGCCTAAAACTGCTTGGAACGCCCTAAAGTATATATTTATAACGTCATCATCATGGAATGCAAGATAATGCCGCCGATTTCTGCAATGAGCAGCACCACCATGTACTCTCTGGCTTCAATAAACATTGTAACATCGATCCTGACCGTTATAGTAAACTACTGTTTTATTGCTGGAATGTTATGTCAGCCAAACCTGCTTACTCCAACCAACTTGTTCATCATCTCGCTGTCGGTCAGTGATTTCCTCGTCGGTTTGATTGTGCAACCCTTAGCTTGTGCCTTGCTACTTTTGATCGCGTCCGGATCAACAAGTTGCCTTTTGGAGAACCTTGTTTTCATATCCTTGAGTGTATTTTGCGGCGCCTCCGGTCTTTGCGTACCGGTCATAAGTCTAGACCGGTACATCAGAATGAAGAAATTGCAGTATTACATCAAGTATGTCAGCAAGAAGCGAGCATGTATTGCCATAGTTTGCATATGGGTCAACGCTTTGGCTTTTGCATTCACCCCATTTTATGGAGTACCCCAAGACATATTCTTCATCATGCTGATAGTCTATCTTGTCGGATGCGGGTTGGTCATGTCTATTGCCTACAAGTCGGTCGTACAGCGATCCGTAGTTTTTAAAAGTAAGCATGGCAACCAGAATCCAAAATGCGAGATTATTTACACAAAGAAGAATGTACCCACTAGTTGTTCTAAAGAAAAGGAAGATTCAAAGGTTTCTTTTTCCGTGAACCCTGAGACAGTTCAGATTGCTGGAAACATAACAGAACCAAATACGTCAGCGTGCCAATATGAATTTTCTGAGAATCCTCCGAAAAGTAGCTTGAAATTCAAGCCTTATCAGTCCCCATGCAAATCATCTGATAGCAAGATCCAGTCTTGCTTTCCATCCAAATGCTCGTCCTGTAACGATGATATCGAGAGCCGTAGCAACAGCTTCGAGGCAAGCCAAGATACAACCTCGCCTAGTCGGTCTAATTCAGAGAATAGAAAGCGACTAGCCAGCCTCGAAAACACGCGGCAAATGCGTATTACCGTCACCGTGTGCCTGCTAGTTCTGGTCATAATAATATCGTGGATGCCGACGTTTGTCTTCAGTTTGATATGGGCTTTAGATAAAGAGAGAATGAACACACACGAAATGGTAATCACTCTTCATTACATCGCTCTTACCTTTGGTTTCGCTTGCTCGTGTGTCAATCCATTGCTATACTGTTCGAGAATTCGCGATGTGAGAAAAGCAGCAATAGCTGTCTTTTGGAAGACCTTTAAATGTGCTCCTTGTCGTAAGCAATGACACAACAGTTCTTTTGTGAATAAAACAGAATGTATGATATACACGTTTAATACTGTGCAGTCCTCAAGTGTATATCTAACCAGGGTTTCAAGCCATCCACTACGTTTTCTTGTAACGAATGGCTACTGCTTTAACGATTTGAATACGTATATTGATAGGTCCAGATCATTGTGAGAACTACAAATCTTGTTGGAATACTTTGAGATAGTGGACAATACTGAAGACAATTTGTTGATATGTTATCCCATAGGAAGTTTCATTAGTTTGGTTCCATGTTAAGGATGGTTTTATTCGGGTCGTGAAGGCAGTCAAATATGATAGAATTAGATTATGAAATGTTATTAATCTGACTTTTGCAGTTTCAGGAAAATTTGGATTTTTGGAGCACAATCAGCTGTTGAGGTTTTATGCTTTATGTAAATTTAAGCATAATTCCTAAAAAAAAATTAAATATCGCCTTCTTATGATTTTGAGCTATTCCGAAAATTGACGGCATATGACAGTCCCGTACCCATTATAGCCACTCCGTTACAATGAAGATTTAACGTCACGTGATCTTTCAAACCTCGTTGAAACCTCCTCCATAATTAATTAATCTAATGTATGAGCCTCTTATCACTGAATCCTGCAAATTTTTGAGCGTTTTGGTCAACCTTTTCAGCTAAATCATCATTTAAAACTGCTTGTAATGTTACCAACGGCTTAGATTTGAGATTTTCTCCCAAATAAACAGCTTTTCTTTGACACCACTGAGGTGAAAGAAGGTCTTTTTCCAAAGTCTAAATGCTAATTCGCCGTACTTTGGGTGAAACTCTTCAATTGTAACTCTTATCTCACAAAATAAGCGAAGAAATCCATGTCAAGCATGGTTCTGCATGGTGAAATTAAGTGTTACTTTCTCATATTATTTGACAAAAAGTAAACAACCTACTTGCCCTTCCTTCAAAACATTGAAAAAGTAGATAACAAAAATTTAAGAATGGCCACAGCCAGAGACCTAAACGGGTAAAAATAAAGTATAAAGTGTGTAAAACTTTCCTTTGGTCGATTGAACACTTAATATTAAACAACTTACGTAAAAGATTTTTGGTCAAAGAATTTAAACTGCAATGCACTTCAATTTTGGAAGCAAACCTGCAGTTTTGATTCAAGACAGCCCTGGCAATAGCCATGGTCCAGGTAGACAGTGAATCAAATATAAATTAGTCTGTTTTTTGTAATTGTACGTCAACGATCCGTTCTTTCTTTTAGTTTTCTTGATGAACTGGATCTATAGCAGTTGCACAATAAAGTTTCATTTCGTTATTGTCAAATGGAAAAGTGTTTAAACTTACTACATCTAAGCCATTAATTGATCAAGAACATGTATTGATAATTCAATTGATCATTACCTGAATCCTCGACAAAACAGAATCAAAGCAGTTTTGGAAACGTGTGTAATTTTTTTTATTTCAAGAGAAGTCGTAGATATTTGGTAGAAACAAAATTTTGGAAACCAGTTCCCTTTCCTATGTTTTCCTCCGTTTGTTACTGGCTCTTTGTAACTCAAATATTCATTCAACTAAAACTTAGTTAAAATGTTGTTTTGTTTTTTCAAAACATACAAAGACAAATGACATGTTTATAAAGAAATAGAGGTTAATCCAGGCTTAAATTTGCCCGATCAACGATATAAACGTAATCAGTTTAGGATTAAGGTTATCTGGACATAAACGAGGCATGTTACGTAGTTACAAATGTCTAAATCTATCATGTGTTTAGCTGTTTCAGAATCGAGCTGTTTGCATCGCGGATGAAGGATATTAGACTGCTATAAGGCTGTACCAAGACCCCGTTTACACTATGCCTGATAAATTTTATCCGCATAAAACTTCTTCGGGTTGATTTGCGTTTACACTATGCCGCACAAATTTTGTCCACTTTGCCCTCCCTTTTACACTGTGCCGCATAACTGCAGTCACGTGACCTAAATCGTGCACAGAACGTCCAAAACGAAGTCATCTCTGGGCAACAGAATAACAGCTAAATTCCCGCCAACATAAAAATACATTTATATTCTCTATTCAGAATCTATGCTTCTCTTTCAGACGAAGTCCGAAGATATTGGCAAAAAAAATTAGGCAGAGTTAGTTTTAATAATTCGTTCTCTGAAACAAAATGACGCTGAAATAGCGAAAAAGTGGGGTATGCTAACACGGATGCCAATTTTACGTGGACTGACTAAGATGCTGCACTTTTTACTCGAGTATTTATCGACTACAAGGCAGCCAAGATGGCGAAAGGTCTTGATTGGGAAACAGTGAAAACTAAGTAGGAAAAAATAGGCTATTTTTTCCTAGCCAATCGCTTTCGAGCAAGATACGATATGAATAAAATTTATCCGGGTAAAACCGTTTACACTGTACCGCATAGCTTTCCGAACTTATTTAATCCACTTTCCTAGGTGAACCAATTTTGTTCGGATAGCCGCTCTCAAATTTGTGGGAATAGCGTGGATCTAGTGTAAACGCGATGCCTATCTGAACTAATTTTGATGCGGATAAAATTTATCCGGCACAGTGTAAACGGGGTCCAAATCTAAACAGTTGTTCGGGAGCTGAAACCTTTAGTCCTTTGTTTCGAAACAATACCGTCTTAACCAATCATCGTCGCAGGTACGCATTGTCAACGACCCTGAAATGAGGGCTAGTGCATGGTCTGGAAGACGGGCATGATTCGTCCCGAGCAAACAATGACAATTCCTTTTTGTCATAAAAAGGATCTCATTCTAAAGATCGGTTGATAGAAAACATTTTTACTCCAGGTGAAGTTTTCCCACGGTCGGGTTCTCCTTTCGCAACAGGCTATTCCGCTAATTTGTTATTATGCTAAACTGGATTTGGGGATATAAAAAGGTTGCGAATGCTATACCTGGTATTGGTGGAGAATCTTTTATCAGTTGTGTATTATTGCTTTTTTGCAGAGTGCTCGATAACGGAGCTGCTAACCAAAGCAGGAATGACAATCTACGATGATGTATTTTGTATTATCCAAATATTCGTAAAACTGCTAAATTAGTAAACACCAGAAAACTTAATATTTTTTTGCATTAAAATCTACAATTGCTATATCAAGAGACTGAGCAATACTGACAATGTACACAACCGCTTCCTCGGAGTAAAATTTGAAACGAGTAAAAGGTTACATAATTTGATCCAGTTGGAATCTGTGTAAAAGCTGCTTTAAACAAGACTTTTTAGAAGAGAAATCAGACCAAATTCATGATTGGCTTACATTTACATTTATCTTATACATTTTATACTATAGAATGCAATCTGTTTGGTCTAAATAGATAGTGGACAACGAGTTTAAGGAATTTGAAACAGGACGTTTAGTAGAGGTACCATGTACGTTCAGGCAGGGTCACGTATGCTTTACCCTATGTTCCAGACCACATTTTTTCAGTGGTTTGATATTAAAAGCCAGAAATATGTTCTCCAATTTACATTAAGAGCTAACAAGAATATTTGCTAACCATAATATTTGCTGGTTGAAGCTATGCAAACTTGATCGCTTCTTATTGTTTCCTATGGTCAAAAAATACCCGTGAGCGATGGCATGTAATAATGTAGAACGATGTCACAGATGATTGTTTCATGTAAAGAAATGCTGGTGTAAATGGGTAGGGTTAGTACTATCTACAAGCAGTTAGTGTTCATCCACAAGGTCTATTGTCCACAACGTAGGATTTTCCACATAATATCGATAGAAGCTCGTCTGATCTCTCTGATTCGCCAACAGTACAACAAAGGATTCATAGTGGACACTGCGAAGCCTAATGAGGCAGCAACGTAATAAAGCGTTACCATGATTGTGCTGTTATTGGAGGCTGGCACCCATAATGCCCATAGCAGCCAAATGACAAATGCTGGTAACCATGACAGTACTGCCACGGCAACAAGGATGGTCACTGTAACTGTCAGTTTCATCTGACGAGAGTATTCGCTTTCATTTCTCTTACTGTCTTTTGAAATCCTCGACGGCCACGCATTTATCGTTCCTGATGCACTGCCATGAATAGCAGAAGTAGCCGTGATTGTGCTTTTAGGTGTATTTGCCGATACCTTTCTTTGTGAATGGCGAATAATAGAGATGTAGGCCATTATCATTATGAAGGTGATGAATATCATGTATGCTATTAATAAACTGTAAAAGACAACCAGTGACACACCATACATTGGCATGAAGGCCATGATAGATGCATTTACCCACGCAACAGATATAACCACAGCTACGCGGGTTTTCGTTACATATCTTGAATAATATTGTAGTTTTCGCATGCGTATGTATCTGTCCAAGCTAATAAGTGGAAGACACAGTCCCGAAGCACCACAGAATACTCCAAGGGTAGCAAATGTTAGATCTCCCATCATGCAACTTCGTCCGTTAAGTAACAGATGTGTGAAAAACATTGGCTGGGTTACAAGACCCACTAGAAAGTCACTTAACGACAATGATGCTACCAATATGTTTGTTGTCGTTACAAGGGCCTCCTTACTGAAAATTCCGACTATAAAACAAAAATTTATTAACACACTTGAAATTGCTGTCAACATATTTACAATAACCAGAACATAGATTGTTGCTGGACTCATTGGAGTGACAGGTGGGAAAGTTGTACACTTCATGCCTAGCTGTCTGTTTGCATAGACCAAGTTATAGTTTCAAGGAATAATTTACCTTTAACTAACTTGAGTCGTTAGTGGTGCAACAGCTTGCTCCTCAGCCCTTCTTAATTTCATTATTGTATTGTTTTTTTTTACTCTGCGTGAAGTTTGTTTCATTCAGTTCAACTTTGCAACCGCGAAACACACTTTGCTATCTGAAATCAATATCCACGTTTCGGATTTGTTGTAGCATCACGCTAGAAAATCAGATATCAACGGAAGCTTTCAGATTTGAGCAATATATCCAATTCACTATGAATCCTGATCATCCGTTTGAAGTGAATCATTTACTGTAAGTTTGCTCATTTTGACTTGTCGATATCCAGGAAATCAAACTGAAAGATAGTTTTTCAATATTGGCTGATTTTAATATCTTCGTCTCTAGCTAAAACTTTCAATAATTTATGCTATCCCATGATTTTCAAGAAACTTGATAACTATTTTGCAGCTGTTCATATAGTCTACAAAGATTCAAGCAAACAAGACTTTGTAAAAATCTTCTTATTTACTTGCAATTGCCTTTTGAAAAGATGCCAGGAGAAAGACATTTTTGTATTAATATGATGCTTTGTGGAATAATTCCATTCAGTCTGTTGTTTTGATATACACTTTTATCAATGATAATACATGAAATCTATAAACTATTAACATATTGTTATATGCCTTCAATAACTTTTCCTATTTCTGTTAGGACCTGCTATATATTTGGAAAAATCCATTTCTCTAGCAGAAAATATTGCTGTTCTCTGCTGAATCTTTGCAGATAAGCGTTGTTCTTTCCTAAACAATGTTTCTATTTGGGGGGGGGGGGCTATGTTGGCCAGATGTCTGTAGCCACAGCATCTAGATATTCGATTGTGTATAGTATCGGATAACACAAACGAGTTGTTTAAAGTATTGCCGATCATCACGTAGCAAAGCATCTCTTAACATAATGAAGTGCTGTAAAAAAGGATGGTGTAGTGCACGTGCATAATTTAGAATGGTATGGTATGGTATGTTATGGTATGGTATGGTATGGTATGGTATGGTATGGTATGGTATGGTATGGTATGGTATGGTATGGTATGGTATGGTATGGTATGGTATGGTATGGTATGGTATGATATGGCATGGTATGGCATGGTATGGCATGGTATGGCATGGTATGGTATGGTATGGTATGGTATGGCGTTGTGTAATGTAATGTTTTTTTCCGCATTAGGTTGCTTCTTGGTTGTTTGACCTCGGTAATTTAATTTTTACGATTTGCTGCCTGCAATCTGATCGAGCTTTAATTGGGCCTATTACAGCGTATCAGTTTCAGGAAAAATTCAAATGCAGCTCTTCTCAGTTTTTTTATTCGCCAACCGTATAATAAAGGATTTACAGTTGATGCCGCGAGACTGAATGTGCAAAAAGCATAGCTTAAAGAGACTATTGTTTCATTCCTGTTCGATGCGGGTATCCCTATTGCCCATAAAAGAAACACAATAAAAGTTGGCAGCCAGGCAATCACAACAACAGCAACTATGATTGAAACAGTTACAGTGAGTTTCAATTGTCTTGCATCTTCAGTCAACATCTTTGCTTTGTCCTTTGAAATTGAGGTGGATGCAGCGCTACCGGAGGTTTCTTGAATTGTTGCTCTTTTGTTTACCAGGCCAACTTTTCTTCGAGAATTGCGGATGACTGAGAAATATGCGTTGATCATTATGATAGTCACTGCTATCCAGCATGCAATGAGGATGCTGTAAAAAACAGCCTTTGATACAACGAAAATAGGCAAAGATGCAATGATAAAAGCAACGATCCAGGTAAAAAGTAGTGCAAAAATAACACGCTTCTTTTTTACTATGCTTGTATAGAAGTAAAGGCTTTTCATGCGAATATACCGGTCCAAACTTATGAGCGGGAGGCAGAGACCTGATGCTGCGCAAAATGCAGAAAGTGTCATTGCAGTTAGGTTTTCTACCACGCAGCTCTCTATTCCACCCGCACTGAGAAGCATATGCCCAATTAAAAGTGGCTGCGTAATAAGGCCTACAAGAAAGTCACTCATAGACAGGGACCTCACAAAAAACAGAAGTTGATCCAGACACTTGCTAATGCTGTAAATGTATTCACAACACACAACGAATAAATAGTCTCTGATTTCATTGCAGCTACACGCGGCAAAGCTGTACAATTCATCTTGATTCAGCAATGCATCACATATATTGAATTATCGAGTGTATGAAAGTGGGCAGGAAAAATGTTGCACAATGTGCTATCCATGTATTTGGCGTTGTTTCTATGTTTTTCTTATAGCTGCATACGTTTCAAGTCTCTTTGAAGTGCCATATTAGCATATATCATGCCCTCTTCTATGCATGTGATCATGTCTATCACTGCCTTCTTCTAAAGCTAAAATTGTTTTTATCCTTTATATATGCTCAAATTACGGTCTCTATGGCGAGAAATCTCTCTGCAATTATTTAGAAATGAATGATGCATATGACCAAATCCAGGATAATAGATCTTACTTTTTTAAATAAAGAAAATTATCACAAACAAATATTTTCTTAGTTCCAATCATTAAAGGAACTGTTTGGAGTGAAGATTGATTATTTTTTCAGCAATGAATTTTTCATTTGTTTATAAATTCATCCTATATACAGTAGAACTTTGAAAACTAGTTGTGTGGACTAGGATTTGAAAAAATGGACCTTTTGGAGTGAGAAGTAAATGTTTGTTCTGCAGTTAACTTCCCATCGGTTTCCAAGTACTTCGGTGATGGCCAAAACTCGTGCTATTTAGTTAAGCAACTGTCTTTATGATCTTGAATGTTCAGTGTAGCTAAAAATATGCATTGGTATCATAAGCATAAATCCGAAGTGCATTAATCACAATCTTTAGTTAAATATATAAACTTGCGTCTTTTGAGCATGCGCAGTAAGTGTGCTGACAAACATGCTATGTCATTTTCTCACTCAAGGGAAGGATAAGATAGATTAAATCACATTTTGAAGAACAGCAAATGAAAGATGGGATTAAAAATGATACGCATTCATTATCAGAAAGGGATCTCATTTAAGGAAGGTCAACCGTTTGTTTAAGGCCCAACATTTGTGCTGTTGTCGCTTTGAAACGAACCAAAACCGGAAAATGCGTAGCTGTATGTGTTAATATATTGTGAAAATATTTCAAAAACTTTCCAAATTTGAGCAGTCTATCTCCTTTTTTCAAGATAAAAAACTTTTGTGACCAGTAGCATTTCTGTTCTCGATGGTTGTCGTTATACGCATGCTTGTTTAAAGCAGAACTTCTTTGGCTTGGACTTGCTAGCTTATCTATTGTTCATAACAGTAAGTAGTTCAATCTCATCTCCACGAAAAGCCTTGAGAAGTGTGTCAGTCAAGCTTGTCATGAAGTTTGGTGATAGCTAATAGATAGAACTTCCATTCAAGATATAATTTATCACATTAGACCAGCAGAAGCCTAATCTAATATTCATAATTTTATTCTTCCGCGAATTCTCCCAGCCAACACTTTATTCTAGTATAATTTAGAATAATAATTTATTTACTCTTAGTCACCACATCAGGGATCGTAATAATGAAAACTGACATTCAGCAAAATCGGAAATTGCATTGTAAGCTGCTGCAGAATGAGCAGATACATTTATAAGCATGAAACCGTGCATTTTTCAGATTTGAATGTATGGTGGTTTTGGCTTTTTTAAATTCCAAATCTTGGCCCCTTGCAAGCGTAGCTCAGTTCGGTCCCATAATTGGCAGTTCTGGCTATTTGAAAACCGGGAAGGTTATATATTCTTGGGTTTTGGCTCAGTCTTTTGGTGTAAATTACTTTTTCATGAAAACTGGATTAATGCTATTAAAAGTTTTGAATACTACAAGGGCTAGAAGTAGGAGTTGCTCCAGGTGGTCTGGTAAAAAGGGAAGCTGTCTCAAAAAGTTTCTAGAGACCACGCCCTCTAAAGTGCTTGAAATGCCCCTTTTAAAATATTGCAAAGAAAACGGTGACAAAAACACTTATTTTTTCCCTGACTTTGTAATCTGATTAGTAAAAATCATACAATCAAAACATGTTTTTTAGAATTAAGGAAGTTTTCGACAACCAGCTGTTTTTGAATCGCCTACGACGCTATCAAGCACTAAACTGATTTGACCTGAATAAGACTTCCTCGTCTTTATTCAGACCTTGAATCTCAAAGATAATTATTGGTTATCCAGTGGATAATATTACACTGATCAATCTATAGTTTCCTTTCTTAAAAGGATCTTTTCTCTATAAATTGGCGCAACTACTGCCTTGTCAGAACAATGATCTTGTAAATGTCTGAAGCTGTTGCAAATTGTGTCAAACGAGTTCTCAATTTGTTTCCAAAAACGAGTCCCCCCCCCCCCCCCCTCCCCTCGATGATCTGGAGAATGTAGAATAAGGCAATTTATGTTGTAAACAAAATTTTATTTTAAATTTACAGTTTTTGAAGTTTTTTGCATATCTTTTTCTCAATAAAGGAGTACGAAATTCGTTGAAAACAGCTTAAACGGTTAAAAACATTATTTTCAGCATTTAAGGCTACTTTAAGTACAATTTTGCGTTTTAAATTTTTTCAATTTTTAAAGGTTTGTTGTCAAGGATTTTTTGAAAATTTTGTCAAAAGTTGGTCCAATAAAAAACAAGCTCAATATTATTATGAAGCTTGAATTTTTCCTGCTTCCTGTTCTTTTTCCTGTATAACTTTAATTCAAGTAGCCCATTTTAAATTTTGGGCCTGATATATTAAACATTTGTTTTTATGCGTAGTGTGTATATGTCGATTCCATAAATATACTAAAATGCGTGCGGTACAATATGATGAAATTAAATAACGATCAATGTAGGTAAATTGTACCAGGAAAATTTTTTTAAAATAATTAACGACGTTTCGATCATAGCCCGTTATCAAGGGATATGTCCCTCGTGAGTGAGTTGGTTGGCCATAGATACCCCCAGTGATTCTCATCACTGGCCTCATTATCACTCTCTGAAATCGAATCGAGGTTCCTTAATGTGTTTACTTACATAAGTTTTTGTTACAAAATCGTTGTCCAAAGTTCTTCCATCTGATGATTTTTAGTTAGATAGCCCCTTTGGGTGGTTGCATAAAATAAAGATGACGTACGGTGCCTGTTCAGACTGCAGTTGCAGGAAATCAAGCAATAATGATAAAATTTCAATCGTGGTGTACATCTTTGTATGTTTGTTTGGTATCGGGTCGTGGCTTGCAGTTAATGGCATCTGGATGGAATTACCAATTCTTGTAGAACATGCACCGGAAAAATGGAGTTTGCCCTCATACCTCACTATTATCACAGAACTTGCAAATATAGGGCCTATTTTGTACTTCGTTGGGCATAAATTTAAGCCGAAAATTGTGCATGAGAGGTCGGGTGTATGTATTATCATATTTCTTGGAACTACAGCCTGCATTTTGCTGGCATTTCTTTGGGACAGGACATCCTTTGTTTTTGAAGCAGAAAGAAGTACATATCTGATAGTGTTGTCTTTTTTTGTAGCCTTGGTTGATTGCACATCAACAGTGACATTTTTACCCTTTATGGCCATGCTTCCTGGAGTGTACATGACCGCTTTATTTACCGGCGAGAACTTGAGCTCACTATTACCAAGCCTCTTTGCTCTAATTCAGGGGATAGACCACCGCACAAAAGTCTCTAATACCATTTGTGGTCAAAATAATACAATGTGCCACAATGTCACCATGACTGTCTTCACTGGCTTGAATTTCCGTCCAAAGTATTTTTTTGTTTTCCTTGCACTTATGATGCTAGTTTCAGGAGGTGCATTCGTTGCTCTCAATGTTTTGCCACAAGTGACTGTGCACCACGTCATGAAATTTCAGGAACTACATAATTCGGGCAAGAAGAACCTAAGAAAATCAATTAATCAAGTTGTCTCTTATGAAGAAGACAGACAATCCTTGCTTGACAGCAATTCATTGTTAGCTCAGGAGCATCAAAACTTCCCATCAGATTTATCATTATCATCCTTTCCAGGAAGCTCAGTTGAGCTGTCTGTTGCTACAAGTGTATATGATGACCAAAAAGTATTTATTTACTTGCTGGTCTTGCAAGCATGGATCAACTGTATCAGCAATGGTGCAATTTCACAGATCCAAGCATTTGCATGTGAGCCATATGGCACTATGGCCTACCACCTTGGTAAGTTCGAAAGGAAGCAATTCATATAGGGTCACTAATGATAATGATAAATTGTTGCATTCAAAATCCCATAACCATTCAAAGGAATGAGTAGTAATCTATCTTTGCAAAATGTCTGAATATACATTCAAACCTGAAAATTTATCTACTTCATTGCATTTATTACATTTTGCAAAAATGTCATTTGACTATTTTACAAGTTGTCAAGAATCAGATTGTTTTAGATTTGGATTCTTCAACTCATAGGCCAGTTCTTCTAAAGCTTTTTCACATTATTACACAGTAAACTGTTATTTTTGTAGACATGTGGCAATACTGGTGTCTTTTTATACATTTGTTGTCAATTCAAAGTCCTATTAGTGATCTTTACCCTTTGCCATTTGTATACTTACTTATTACTACTTTATATTGAGCTTATTGGCTATTTATGACTTCAGGGAAATTGTACTGAGTTGCCATAAATTGTATTTCAGCTGTAACTCTGGCTGGCATTGGAAGTGCAATAACATGCATTGCTTATGCTTGGTTACCAACAAAGTCTATCAAGGTTATATCCTTCTGTTGCTTCCTGTATACAGCACTTGCGGCATACATTATATTTTTGGCAGCTCAGAGTCCCAATCCTGTTTTAAAAGGGACAAGCTCTGGAAGCACACTTGTGGTAAGAGCCAGTTAATACATATTTAATATCCTTTGAGTTTTCTATTGACAAACTACATGCAACCTGAATACTTTATTAATGTCATCTAATATTTTATTGTGATTCACCTGTATACATCCTTCTCCCTATTATTTTAAAAGCAAAAGAAATTGTTTCTGACAATACTCAACCATCTGTAAACATTTTTTTCAATAAATATATTTTTGTTCTCAGTGTAATTTTTTCTTGCAGGTTCTTGCATTTTTGCTATCAGGCATTTTTGTAAACTATGCAAAGGTTGCAATTTGTACAATGTTCAGAGAAAAAGGTCACAAAGAGCTGTTTTGGTGTGGAGCAGCAATACAATTTGGTTCATTTGTTGGGGCCATTATCATGTTTCCTTTGGTGAATGTTGCCAAATTATTCAATCAGTAAAATTACTGATATTTGATCCCATTCTTTTAAAAAGTAATTTTTCCTAAATTTATATCCATGACTTTGAAAAAGTTATTCAAGAATGCAATGTACAAATACTAAGATGTACAATAAATAATTTTTAAATGTTATTTCTTCAGAGAAAAATTTTAGCGCCAGACTTTATCATCATGAAACTCTGTTTCTTTCTTGAAATAAACTGAAATGATTATAGACAAATCTGTAGCTGGGTTAAACTGGAAACAATCAGAATGGAAATCAAGGAATTATGAAAAAAAATAAATTACTGTAGAAAGGTTTTTCCTCAATTCACTCTGGTTCACTACCTGGCTTAAGACGGTGAAACATAATTTTGCAGGATCATAGCTTAATAAACTAACAAATGCACAAGCTAGGTAATTTTAATGTATTAATCTTCATCTTCCTCTAAATTAATGTTATTTCCAAATTTGCCATACAGTTTAACTTTAAGATCTGCTAGAATTTTCTTTAGTCCATCAACTTCTGCTTCCAGTTGATTTATCTCTTCTTGCACTTTGGTTTTATGTGTTTCAATCAGTTGATTGGCATCATCTGATGACATTTTTATGAATACTTCACCAATGCGAAATGTAATAAATAGTCAAGGAAATGCTAGACATTTTGAATGTTAGACATTCTGCATTAGAAAGCTGAAAATCCTGCATTAATGGTATTAATTTGGCTTCTTAGCATTGGCTTCAATAAAACTTTTTGACTGTATTTTCAATTTTTTGTTCTAGGCAATATATTCTTGTAAATAAGCTTTAATGCAACATTTTATCTTAGAAAATGAAAATTAGGTAAGAAATATGCTTTCTACAAAAAATATTTAAAAAATTTGTTTAAAATTGAAGAATTTTGTTATCAAATAAAAATTGTTTTTTTAATGGAATTTTAAAACAATTCATGTGTTTGAATAAAAAAGCAAACAAGCTTAACAGAAAATGGATGAACTATTTTTACAATTCAGGGCTTCTTAAAAAGAAAAAATAATTATTTCAAAGAGGAACAAATATTATAATGTAAAAGGATATGGAACAAGTTCTTCATCTCCATCCAATAGCAGAAGATCATTTTCTGCATCTTCAAGATTCATCAACTCTTTCTGGTGGAGATGTAAAAGTTAATTTGTTAATGAATTTAAAAAAGTAAGGTGTTTCAAATTCCAGCATTTTTTAAGCCTTCGAGTTAAGAGCAAGAATGTTCAAGAAGAAAAAGTTTGTACATATGAAATTTAATTTCAAAATTTTACATTCTCAACATGAAAAGGCAACTGAATAGTCATAGAAATAAAATAACTGCTTTATTATGAATTCAGAAAAATTAAACTATCAAGTATATACAGTCCTATAGTACAGAATAGGATGGTTCCTATCTGCTATTCTAAGTTTCACGATCACTGTGATCATTAGACAACAGTGCAGCATTGTGAACTTCATGACAGACCAAGAAACAGTTATTTCATTTTAGGCTTACATATATGCATGTATATAAATACCTTTTTCTTTTCAATATCAGATTTCACATCATTCATTTTTGCATTTGTGTTTGCAAAGGTATTTATTTTTCCCTGGTCCTCTTTTGTGATTTGAACTTCTGAATCAGCAGAAATCTAGAATATATAGAAGGGATTAACTATATAAGGATTTCCTTATGAGTTTCTGAGCCAGGACATATAATACAGAGGGCTTTGCCTGTGGCTTTCTTTTGAGATAAGAACAAATGGTATATTTTCTAAGCTTTTTTTACTTTTGGTGTTGGTGGCCTAACTGAAATGATTTGAAATTTGTACATTGTTGGCAAATTAGATGTATTTTCAAATTAAATACAACAGAGCTTACAATTTGACCTTTAAATTCAGACCTTCAATCAATTTTCTACATCATTTTTTGAAAAGTATTTTTTTAGAAATTTCCATTTAATTGTTTGGCAATGTTTTGGAAAAGATAAGACCACCCAGTGGTGTACCCAAGGGGGGGGGGGGGGGGGGAATGGAGGGGTACGGACCCCCCACTTTTCTAAAATATGGTCCTCAAGATTTGTCCAAAAACGATGTAAAACTCATTTTAGTACACTGTGTGCTTGTGTCAATAACAATTGTAAAACGCTTTGCTATTTACCGTAGCTAACATGAATCAAATAATGGGGGAAAATTTTGCAAAAAGGGCATTTCCCCGCATTTGAGAGTGTTTTAAGGGCATGGTCCAAAAAATTTCTTGGGGCTGAGCCCCACTGCTGCAGCCCTGGGTACACCACTGAGACCTCCCAAGCTTTTGCTGCCCAAAGGAAATTACATACAATTGGTCTTCATGTATAATGCTGACTTGTGCTTATAGCAAAAAAACTAAAAAAAACCTTTTTTCCAAAATTGACACAATGGCACACCACTATGTTCCTATTCACTGTGTGAGGAGCAAACAAGGTGCAAGGAATGAATAGGTGTATTATTTCTTTAAAATCAAGTGACATTCATTTAAAATGCCTTCCATGCACTTGATGTTTGCATACTACAAAATTTAGACAAAATTTTCTGTTTTTTCCAGACCCTTGAGACGAAGGTAGTGCTGGCAGCCAAAACTTGAAAGTGCCTTCCATCCAGCATGCTAGAGTCCAAAGATACCAATAAAAAAGCGAAAATGAACCAAGATAAGAAAATGTATGTAATTGATAGATACTTTTCTATCAAAGCAAAATTGCCAGTCTAGTGAAAACTTAATTCTTCATTTGCCCTTTTATTTAGCAGAGGACACACTCGTATCACACCCAGATCTAAAAAACCACACCCATTACCAAGCGTGCAGGGACATTTTAGAAAAATTACCTCGCATGTGCACTTGCCATAATCTGTAGTCGGGTATTTTTATGGTTTTTAATTGGTTAAAAATTGTATAAATTCTTCAAGTCAAGTAAAGACATGCGGCTAAGCTCTCACAAGTTTTCCCTTCATGTACCTTATAATTCATTCTGTTATTCTATAATAATTAGCCTTTACCAATACATCCTTAGAAGAAAGTGCTATTAAAATTTTGAAAATGAACAAGATCGACTAGACGTGAACAACTCATATTATAAATATATATATACCTTTGACTTCGCTGCAGCTGGAGCTACGGTCGCCATTTTGATGTCTTTCTCAATAGTGAAAAGGAGGTTTGAGGTGATCTCGAGACAAACTGGATATTTCCACTAGCGTTGTTTAGAAAATGGCGGAAAGTCAAACCTTAGCAACAGTGAATAAATCACGAACCACTTTGGGAGGAGAGAGTACGGCTAGCGTTAGAAGTACTGCCAATAGTGAAAATGAAGAGCAAATGCCAAAAAAACCAAACGGCGATAAAAGCTCGTCCGAAAGTGGCATTGCAGAAAGTGGTGAGATGCCACAGCAACAAACTATATCACAACCTGCTCCAAGACGCCGGGCAAAAGGTAACCTTTAATATCAAGTAAAGTCGCGTAAACAGAAATTGTAACGAATTTTAAAAAACTATATAGGTAAAAGCCACACTAGCAGTGGTTTGAAGTATGGCAATGCCCGAATGAGCACAGCAAGGTGATGCCGAAATTTACAATTGTTGCAAGCCAAATTTACAGTTCTGGTAATATTTACAGTTTTAATAAAGATTTAATCTTGTTTGCCTTATGGCTAGTCAAGAGATGCTTAAATGATCAGATCTCGTGCATGCACAGTCATTTTAGCCATTATATGCAAACCCCTTCCTAACAGTGCAAACTGAGCTTGTAAAGGAAAATTTATCATGCCAAACTGCTTATCAAAAATAGCCTTTGTGTATCTGTGTGCCCTGATGCTGAAAAAAGCTATTGTGTAGTCAAACTAAGTCGTATGATTCATTTCATTTCGGTAATTTCCTGTTTCATTCGACCTATAACACTGATCTCACTCATTTTTGGGAGAAAAGCCACCTGTTTTTACAGTTGTCATTTATTGTTTTTCATTCCTGAAATGCAGTAGCTTGAAAACTGTATAGTAGAAAGCTGCCTGCAAAAAAGGTCTTTGGATACTTTCATGATCATATTTGGATACCATAAAACTATGCTACAAGATATGCATTTTCTATTTTTACCAAAGACATAAAACAGCTGCTATTTTCTAAATTACTGAGGACACAAAACTCCAAAATATGTAAACAGCCAGTCTTGATTCCTGTGAACTGTGAAATCTGAACCTCCTCGCTAGCATGGATGTTGAAAAGTTGAAGAGAGCTTGTCCAACTGCAGTTCAAACCCTCAACAGAGGGTCTTTTGGGTCCCACAAGAACATACACAATTCTTTCTAAAATAATCAATTTATCAAAATCAAGAAGCTCAAGTTTTGAATTTTATGAACAGTTTTAATTTTCATTTATAAAGCAAATAAAGCAAGCATGACTTTCATGCAAAATGTTTTGGTACACCCCTTCAAAATTGTGTTGTGTATTGTTTTGATACACTCTTTCTGGTGGGTACATTCTTTCTGGTGAGTCCTTTTTTGCTTTTCAAGGTCATCAACTTTGATTGATTTGCTATTTGTATCCGAGCAATCATATATCTTGTAATCAGGTGGCATCTCTGAGTGATCATTTTGGAATATCTGTATCAAGAACTGCTAGTGAATCTGTAAAAATAAAACAAGATCATCTGTTGCGTACCTATTAAGAGGAAAACGTACTCAAGCCATTGACATGTACGCTTTGAAAGATTCTTCCTGTCTTTCTGATATGAAGGCACTGGCTTAAAATTATATCCTAATGAGTTTGATGGGGGCATTGTTTATTGTGAAGTTTGCTTTCAAATGATTTGCGAAAAACATCCAAGCATTTGCAGAAAAAATCCAGCATATGCAAGACGAAAGATAGAGACATCCCCAGCCAATTCATTTTCAACTGGTATATCCATTCAGAAAGACAGAGTGAAGCATCTGGTTTCTGGAAGGAATCAAGTGTGGTGCAGCTACAAGCTGCTTTGCCACTAGAAATGGTGACATGACGCGCTATAAGGCCCTTGTTGCTCAGAATCAATGGTGCATTATTAAGGCAAAGTTGCAGCCAGTTGTATGCAATCAAATGAACACAGCTCTTCTAGTTGTCAAGATTAAAGCTGCTGCTCTGCATTACGAAAATGTGATCAGTTTGATAAATAGTTGTGGAGTTGGCAACCCTGGACATGGTAGAAATAAATTCAACGGTATGATAAAAGCTTTCCAGGCATACTTGCACAAGAAAACAAGGGTTGTATCACAACCTCTCTGTACCATCTACTGGTCTACCACCTCATTATGGGACTACACCCGACAAATCAACCCTCGCTAATGTCTCAAATCATGCAATTATGGTGCTGGTGACGGTTGATGGCAAAAAACAGCGATTCCAGTTGATGTTCCAGCGGTATACTTGTTTTCGGATGCACAAATTGAAGGTGGAACTGCTGGAGAGCTGGCCAAGCAAGAATCATCTGCTTTTATCAACACTCTCAAGCTTCCAACTACCGCAATGGAACACCAAGCTGGTAGTCAGTATCAAGCAAAAATGTTTTTTGAGTGGCTGAAGAAATGTACTCAGAGCATTATTGAAGAGTAACCTCTACCTACAAATTACGAAACTTTCTCTGTTATTCAATGAGTCACAGCACATTGGATGGACCTTTGCATGGTAGCTATTCGGTAAAAGGAATATGGTGGAGAAAATCTTCTGACGTTTTATTTAGAGAGTCAATAAATTCAACACGATGTTTGGCAAAGGGAAGGATCGAGCGGAATATCAGAATACTAACTGAAAGCTCACATGACAAAGATTTTCGCGACCACCTGATCTACCAGCAGTGCCTTCTAGCAGTTTGAAAGCATCTATGCAAGCTACAAAGCCCTTGCCACTTTTTTCAATGAGAGAAACTGACGACAAGAAAGAAGAAATGACATATTTTGTCAAAGGAAAAGATTTTTGTGTACACCTTTGTCACAGAATAGAGATATTTTTGTGTAGAACTTTTCTCCATTCTGTGCATTTGCGGTATTATTGATATGATGTCAAAGCCAAGGAAAATGATAGTTAGAGTCCAGTTATTGGACCAGTACTTCTGTGGCTTATTCTAGGCAACCATTTTGTGACACATTTGACTAACAATGAGAAAGAAAATTGAAGAACAGCTGTTAACATTCGATGTTGTCCTGCCGAGAGAGCTATTTCAAAAACTTCATATGCATGATAGAGGCCTGATGGCGGAAGACCCAACAGCATGCACCTTTAGAAACATTTCACTATACCCCAGGTGGATCGTTGCGAATGAACCAGAAGAAGTGAAAGATTAAACAAGGAAAGGAAGAAGGCAATTGAATCGGTTGACAGGACACCAGCAGATTATCTTGGAGAACTTGCCATTCTTTGTGAAACCATGGTAACTCAGATGGAATCAAGGTACACAAAAAGTGTCACCAAAACTGCTTTTATCTTGAGGAACTTCTTTCATATACCTGATGTCTGGGCTTTGGTGCAAGGAATTTCCAACCACCTCACTGGAAAACAACGAGCTGCCCTGGAGGAGTGTGGGAATGCAGATTTCCGAAGTTTCTATGCCGATGTGTGCACTTTGCGTCCCATCTAAAAACTTGCAGACGAGTAACCAGAGCTAAATCTTTTGCCTGCATTGTCACAGTTTCTGCATCGCTCATTAAAAAATGTCGTGTTTCAGGTCATCTGGCTTCCAGCGTAAGTGTAAAAAATGGTTTCCAGCAGTAGAAGGATTTCATGAAGAGTCTATATTGAATGAATTCAAATAGTAAAGTAATCATTGTGATGTTTTTGCCAGCTTTTATGCTAACGAGAGTTTTGCATTGCTTTGGATGTTGGCAATGAGTGGATCTAAAGCAGTAGTAGAACGTTATTATTCGGTAATAAAGACCCAGTCCACGGTAGGAGGTTAACTCAATGATACATTGGCTCAAAGAGCAAATATTGATTCGATGTTTCCAATGCCAATGCAGTGCCAAGAAACAATCAAAGATGTGGCATTACTTTATTTGGATGGTGATAAAGAAGCAGGGATACCACGTCTCCAACCACCTATGTTTATGGATAAGAGAGGACATACATAACGAAAGCGTGCGCATAAAACCAAAGTTCTAAACAGACTAACTTCAGCCCCTCATTACCATCTTAGGATAGAGATCCAAAAAGATAGCTAGAAACAAACTTAATCAATTAACGTTTTTCTGGAACAATTTTCATCACGTACTCAGAAAGATTATTTGGACAATAATATCTTCATAATTCATAAACCTAAATATTTTCTCAGTTTTTGAAGCCATAGGGGACATTTTGCTTTCTTCATCAAAGCATGTGGTAACTTCATATTCAATCTTTCCGCCATCTTCGTACAATGTTGTTTTGTTCCCGTTCAAGTAAGCGTGCTGACTAGTTTTTTTATGCTTTGAGTTACTTATTGTATGCATTTCTGCTGATTTATCGACTCTCTTGCCTTTTGTTGTAAGCCTTGTTTAAGCATTTACTCTAGTATAGTCTTGGATAAAGTTTTTGATACACATGTTGACCTGATTTTGATGCCGAATAGAAATGTCATATTGAAACCCGATTTAAACCAAAGATAGAGAGCCGAATAAATATTTACACTTAAAATATCTGCATAAACAAACGAATGCCTATCAATTTCTTCCAAATGTCGTCTATTCCTCAAGAAAAGCTATAAAATAATAATACAATACCAAATTTTGCTTGCAAAGATAGTCATACTAAAATGGTATCGCGCTTTCTTTTGCCGTATTTTGCAGACTGGATCATAGGCTTTTGCGCCTGTTTTTGTTGCGTAGAAGTAGTGCCATATGGTTATCTCAAAGTCATGTAACAAAAAGGGTGTTATGCAACTTTTTTGGAATGCAATTAGAAATTCTATTTGAACCTTAGTAACTACTTTTATATTTAAGTCATAAATTGGGAAAGTTAGGTAAATATTGGGTATTCAGAAAACACACATTTCTTTTCCGGTTTATAGGATAGATCCTGAAAAACAAAAAAAACACGACAAATTGTCAACCTTTTAAAGGTGAAGAAACATGTGAATAATTGGGTCGTTGTATATATATAGCCACTTTTGTACTCTCAAAACAAACTTAGAATAAGGTACAGGGTCCTGGCGCTTGGCTTTTTTATCTGCAAATCCTGTTGATAATCCTTGCCTAAAGATAATATTTTGTTTATAAGCTCTCATTAACCTATTGTCATATAGATCTCTGTTTTTTTGTGAAAATGAATATTAAAGCTCTCTTTTTTGCCATCCTGCCTAAGGTTTAATATATGTTTGGGGTAAGTGATAGAGAAATTTGGTAAAAAGTATTCTTAAAATTAAGGAAAACAGCTCGTAGCCAGAACTGTCTTATCCTTTACTTTTGTTATTATTTTCAGCACCAGAATTGCCTGTGTTTGAAAGACGGAACTGGCTCATTCATCTACATTATACAATGAAAGAGTATGATAAATGCAAGGTAGATTCTTTTATATGGTTCGTCAAGAGTATCCTAGAATTTAGAAGAATGCTAGTCAGATGATATGAGCTCTTTATTCTTATTCATTATCAAGCTTATTTGCCTTTTTTTAGCCTTTTCTTTTAGAATCTCAAAATCTAGAACTACAACTGATCTGTTCATTTTTATTCACTCATGATCAAGAATCAAACTATCCTAAAAAAAGTTTAAAATTGTAAAGAAACGTTCTTACTTTTTGTAGGTTTTTTATTAAATCAATTTTTTTAGATCATTTGTTTTTATAAGAATGTGTCTTTTAATGTCTTTTTAATTTTTTTCGTTCAATTTTTCTTTAAGTCATTAATAAATTGTATTATTTTAAGACCTTTGTACATTGATTTTTGCTCTTTAATTAGCAGGTTGTGTATATTTAACTTCTTCATTGTTTGTACTAGGCTTTAATTGCAGAGCAGCTATTTGAAACTGGGGATGCATGTGAATATGCTTTGTTTGTGCAAGGTGAGTGCTTATTTCTTACAGTTTTGCTTTAACGACCTTTTCTTGTAATCCTCAATGAGCTAGACACCAGGAGTGATTCACAGTCTGGACACCCTGAGAAAATTATCTGTGCCCACGCCCCTCAGTCTCCTGGAGAACTAGGGAAACGCCCTTTTTAGTGACAATTGTTGAAAAAGTTTTTTAACGATTTTAACAAGATTGTGCTAAACACTTTACATGAATCAAGACATTTGGAGGTTTTCTCTGCGATAAACCTACAGGCGTTGATTCCATATAAGTAGCTAAAATAGTAGCTTTTTGCACTGTAAATAGATCCTATTTATTACGGGTCTCGTCAGAACACGGGCTCCGGACCTTTTGCCCTTCCTAACCCCCCTCTCAACGCCCCTGATGACTGATACTTATTTGATATGATGCTGGTGCCTTGACTTTTGAGAATTTCCTGTCATTGCTTAACACATGCATATAGAAAAGTCATACTGTAAAACTGATATACAATACAGTGTTTGCAACAGTTTCTTATAAGCAACTTCCCTTTAGCCTTTCCCCAACCTGTGTGATGAAAATATGTTTTCTTTGGTATTCATTAAATTGAAACAGGCTTTGCACCCTCCCCCTCTATTTAACCACGTATCAAAATATTTTGATAACGCTTGCTGAAAGGCCGACTGGTGTTCATACAAGGCACAACAGAGTTCCATTTCAAGTCCAGCTAACAAAGCCTATTCTAATGGTATTGAGCACTATCAAATTGCTCATGTCAGGAGTTGTGTCAAATATTTGCTATGAGTCATTTATTCATAATTTGTTGGTTTTGCAACAGAATTTTAAAATAAGTACAATAGAAAATATTTTCATCACTTTTTCTATACCCAGAGACGCCGGAGAGGGGGACGCGGGGGGTCAACCGCCCCTGTTGCCTTTTGATAGGAGGGGCAAGGGGGGGGGCTAAAGTGCCCTTTTCATAGAAGTGCCCTTGACGCCGGCATTTTGTAAAAATTCATGAGATTCATATGAAATCCTGACTTTATTGCCTTATTTACAATACGACATTTCTCGAAACTTACGAAGAAATTTCTTATGCCAAAATTCTTATGCCCTTTTACTCAAGCCCGCCCCCTTGCCCCTTGGTCGTTCCGGCGTGCCTGTCTATACCAAACTGCTTAGTAGAGATATCCTGTGAATGATACCCCTTCAAATATTTTAGATTTTGTGTTTTCAAGTAGTTTCCTTTCCGCCTATAAGAGACTAGACAGCATTACTCTGTAAAAACAAGAAAATGACAAGGCCTTCCCAGCCCTTTATGTTAATAGACGATAAAACCATGTTTTTTATAATCCTCCAGCTTTGATCTTAAGAGAAGAAGGCAACATTCAAAGTTCACTGGAGCTTTTCCAAAAAACGACTCAGCTTGATCCACAGAATGTAAGCAACCTAAAACAAGTTGCCAGATCTCTGTGAGTATTTCTTTTAATTCAATTTATTTTCGCTGCATTAATTTTTCCCTAGAGTCATGATTTCCAGCGATTGTTCGCAAAATGGGCAGTAGGTTATGCTGAGCCTGCTCATGTGGTTTAAGTTTCTCAATTTGTGAACCGATATTGTTGTCATTCAAGCATTTTAACAAATTCAGAAAATAACCAAACCATTCAAGGTTAGTTCTGACATCTCAGGAAAAAGTTGATTTAAATAGCACTTTATTGGCCAATTTGAATACACAACATAATTTCATCCTAGATTTTTACTTGGCCGACATAAAGCTGCGTTAGAAGCTTATAATGAGGCAGGCAAATTGACGCCATTAGACTGGGAAATAATGCACAACCAAGGTTAGTACTAAGTTTTGTTCAATGAAATGCAGGTTTCCTTTAACATGGTTTCAAACTCCATACCCAATGTTTCAGTATCTTTTTGTGAAGAGCTTGATATCCAGCAATAAAAGGGTTCAAGTCCTTGAGAGACTTTATCCTTTTTTGCTCTGCTAGATTGGGTAGAGGTCGAAGATTTTTCTTTATCAAAATTCTACGACTTTTTTAAAATCGTTTTGTAAAGAAAATTATATACAATCTCTTGCATCAAATGTTATTCAACCGGTTTGCATTTTTGACAACATAATTTTTTTGACAACAATGTGAATAAAGCATAGTACAAACATGCAAATATTCGCTATTTGGTGCAAAGAAACTGAACTAATCTAAGTTGCTATTCCGAGTTTCGTGAGATTTAGAAACAGTTAGAATGACTTGCTTAAAAATTGAGAGCCTAACAAAAACCTAGGTAGCCTAGGAAGAGGTTGCATTTCAAAATGTTATTTAATGATGATAGTAGCTGGAAGTCATTTCTCTGGCCAAGCCAAGGTTTTCTAATGTGACTTGTAGCTGTAATAAACTGTAGCTGCAAGAAAGCTCTGTATCTCAGAAGAGAGAATCTTTTGCCAAATTATGCTGTTCAGTTCATTATTTCGTTTCTATTTTCCTCTTGTCGCGTCCTTGTTCTCTTCATTTCTTTCTTAATCAACAATTTTGTTTCTCTGCCAATTTTTTTTCTGGGTCTTTCACTAAATTTTAGGATGAATCTAAAACCTGCAACTGCTTTTGAATCTTTTGAAATGTTGTAATCTCACGTTAAAATTTGGGATAAACTTATACAGGTTACAAAATTAACTGCCATCGTTTTTGAATTCGCTTATTACTAACTATTCAGTTGCAATTCACCATTTCCACCCAACCTTGGAACAATTTACGGTGCAATTGATGTACGATAAAGTACGATAAAGAATTTAAATGATAAAGGTGACAGTTGCTATTTTTTGTTAACATCCATCAAACTTTTTTTGTTTCTCTCAGGAGTCTGTTATATGTACCTCAAAGACACTGAAAAGGTAAGCCGTATTTCTATCACGATTTCTATTATGATATTTCTTCATTTCATTGTACGTTGAAAGATTTAATTCGATTTTCCTTGCGGGTTGTGCACAATATTATTTACGCGATATTATTGAACAATAATTGAAGTAGATCAACAAGAGAAGAAAGTAATTATCGAATTGGTTGATAATGCAGGGCTGCGAATCGATCAATTCTGTAACGCTCAAAATGATATAGGTAATCATCTTTTGATATTTGTTGGGTTTATAGGCCATTCAGTCGCTGAAAGCTGCCATCCAATACAGCAAACATGATATCAGCTTTATAATGCTTGCGAAATGCTTTCTGAATGAAGGAAATCTCGATGCAGCTATCGATGTGTACAAGAAAGCAGTTGAGTAAGTATTGAGCTCTCGAGACCAGATAACTACCAGTTCAATATCAGTAATATGATAGTTTCCTTCTCAAAATCTTTTCAAGAGGTTGAAGTTATTCACCAAGCATCTGTTTCTTACCACTGAATCCATCTGCAATTAAACCTTGGTCTGTCTCGTATAGTTTTTTGTGCAACATCGATTTTTTAACATTTATCGTCTGAAAAATTGCTAGTTTAAAACTTATCTCGAGTCTTGCTTTGTAAAAGAGAAAAAGTGACTGGGAGCTAGACAACTTTTGCAAATAGATAGAAAGGATAATGGAACAAGGGACAAATTTAATAGCATGTGTTATTTTCATCTTAAAATTTTAGATATTGCACGATACACTGTCCTATTTTTAATTTTGTGTGATAAACCTTCTAAATTATAATTTTTAGACTTTTCAAATATTTTTTGTTACCTTTAAACCATTGTATTTTGGATTTCATTCAAAACCCGTGATTTTTTTTAATTTCTTAGATATTCTCCAGAAAATCCAGAACTGATGACAACATTGGGACTACTGTTCTTGCAGGTTATTTTTTCATCAATATTTTCCCTGTCCGTTTTTGGTTACTAGTTGTGGATGCGGCTTTTGAAGTCTTGATATTTTACTGAATTTGCGTAGAATCTTTTAAAATAACATCTAGAGGTTGCATGTTCTGGTTAGCTATTTAATGTGGCATCATTTCAAACGGTAAAAGTTATTAAATTTACAGAGTAAAAGTTTTAGAAATTGCTCATTAGGAGCCCAAAGATGATAAGAATTTGCCTATTTATTATTTCATTGGTACAAGTAGAGTTTGTGAATATCTAAGAAATTCTCTTTAGACCGGTCAGCCGCAAAAAGCATTTGAACAACTTGGCAATGCAATGACTTACGACCCTCACAATGTTAAGGTACGTTTTAAAAACATCCTTCATATTCCGTGCAGCTTTTTGAATTAGGTATTTGCTGAGATTACCTTCCTGTTATTTACACCTTTTTGATGAAGGTAGATGTTGGACTATAAATGCATGATGGCCAGTATGTGTTTAAATTGGTGGAAGATCTAGCTTGCCCTGGCTAAAGTGCCTCTGCAGTTATTCAAACGCGGGAGGCTACGGATACAGGACCACTGAGAAAATCCCAATTCAGTTCAATACAGGCATGCGCAATTGAAGCTTGTTAATGATAATGATAACAATAATAATAATAATAGCAATGAAGCCCCTTATAGGTGTATAGGCACATTACAATTAAAAACATTGTCTTGCCTAAAAAATATGTTAAAAGATACGCAAGTTTACAACATTCCTTTAGTGAAACATGAAACAGCGACATGAATCTTAAACCTGATTTGTTAATGTATTCTTGGTTGCAGGCGATTTTAGCTGCTGGCTCCATGATTCAAAGTCGCGGTGACTATGATGTAGCCTTGGCAAAATACAGAATAGCGGCCACTTCGACTCCTGAATCGCCACAATTATGGAATAATATTGGAATGTGCTTCTTTGGCAAGAAAAAATATGTTGCGGTAATTCCTTTTTTTCAGCATACTAATTTAATCGTGTCTTGCAATACCTTAAAGTGGTGCAAAGGTGTATTATGTCAAAATAAATTGTTCTCCCTTTCATAAGGCTGTCAGTTCTATCAGCATAATTAGAGTCAAGAAGTCAGGGTGTTTGATTACAGTGCTGAAGGTTCTGGGTTCAAATTCTGCTTTGTGCCACTATCTTCTATCCAGCTGAACTAGGGGAACTAGGGGCAGTATGCTAAGTAACTGGCCATCTACCTCATCAAGTTTGACCCAAAAGAAACATGGACCCTCCCTAGCAGGCACTTCTAAAGCATGGAGCTAATATATAGAACTCACCTTTACTCTTATCCGGCTCCCCTAATCAAATCAATTGCCGAAAAGTTTGTTTATCTATGGACTAACCTATGAAGTATAAAAACAGAGACCCCTAAGTTACGATCTATTGTTTCCTCCTGCCAAAAAGTTTTAGTTCTGAATAGTGAATAGCGTTATAGGTTTTCAATAGTTTTGAAACCTCTTGGATGTATATGACCATCGAAATAAAGCATAATCTTGGTTTTTATTTTTTTGATAACTTGATACATTTCGAGTTATCGTCTTGGTAATTGTTTCTTGGGCCAGGGTTGTCGTTTTTATAACAATTCTAGCTTTAAGATCCATACACAAACCACAATATTTTAAGTATATTTTTAACAGATACATTTAAGTTCTTCATCGTATAATAGTCATGTAAAAGATGGGAACTAGCTTCCTTTGACATCTTCTTCTTTGCGCTGTATATATAAAATTTCATTGCAACGAAATATCTTGTAAATGTAACTTTTTAACTTCCACAAAAAGCTTCTAACGTGTTTTGTTCAGACCTAGGGGTGTTTGACAATGGGGTTTTATCTTTGTCTTCATCTTTTCACTTTTTTAGTGCTTAAAAATTGTACGACTTTCAGTGATAAAGAGTTCGTTCTTCGTTCTTTCATTTCAGGCCATCAGTTGCTTGAAAAGAGCTGTTTACTTGGCACCGTTTGAATGGAATATAATTTATAACCTTGGACTTGTGCATTTAACTATGCAACAGTATCCTTTCATTTCTTTTATGGTATAAAGTGCAAGTTTCCCCGTTTCCCCGTATAACTATTTTTTAAATGTATCACTCGCAGTCACTGATTTGATTCGATTCGATTCGATTCGACTTGGTTCAATTCAATATATCAAGGTAGAGAAACTCTTCATAAATTACTAATTTTAAAGAGACCTAGTAAATGCAATTCTTCATGGCAGCGCAAAGTCGAAGATAATGTGTATTTGTAGATAAGTCCGATATGACTGTCCATCATAAAATTTGTTTTGAAGATTCATTGCTGGTAGGCCTAACGTGTCAATAGGCCTTCGTTCTGGCGACCACAATCACATGTGCTTTAAAGGATGTTTTTAGCAATAAATCTAAGCTGTAACGTTTTGAAAGACCCTCTTGAGCTTTAATTGAAGGTAGAGTACACCTAACATGAAGATATACTGAAAAACAACTCTAGTATATTTATGATTCCATTTCTCTGTCACCTTTTGTTTGAATAGGCTTTTTCTCCTAACTCCGATCTAGATATGCATCGGCTTTTCACTACCTCAGTGCTGCAGTCACCTTGAGGCCAAAATTCGGAAAACTGTTCATGTTGCTCGCAAGTACGATAACTTTGTTTTTCTACAGCAGGCATTTCAATTTATATCAGCATAAGTATTCCCTAAAACTCGATATCTGTCTGACATTGCTACCTACTGCAAAAATCACGAAAGTCTCCCTCATCCTTCCCATCCTATTGATGAACTCTAATTGTGTAGCATTGTACTTGTACATTGTGTCTTCTGAGCCACTTGGCTTTGATCATAGCCTGTAGTAGTCGAGAATAAGGGTTTTTAATCAGATGATAATAATATAAGTTTATCTTCTAGTTGCATTAACATACTTGGAAGATGTCGATAACGCCAAACAAGCATACGAACAAGCAATAACCTTAGACAGGTACTCATTTCGTCACAAAAAAACGAAATTTATTTTCTTATACAATGTTTTTGTTTTATTTTGATTGTGCAACTAGCTCTCGGACTTCCTCTCTTCTTGTGTGCCTTTTTGCCGCTTTAAAGCATTTCCAGGCTGCTTCCGTGCTAGGCTCTTGTGGTTGGAAAGCAAATGTTTCAGTCAATACAGTTAGGGCAAAATGCTTTCTATGAAATTAATGATTTCAAAGTATAGAGTAAACAAAGTTGGGGAGGGTATTCTCTGAACAATCGTCTCTAAAGCAAATCGCCTTGCACGTGCTTTCAAGCATACCATCAAGATAACCTTTCAGGATTTCCCAGGATATCTTTGCTGACATGCGTAGAAGAAAAAGAGGCAAGAAAGTTTTCATGCATTAGAAGCTACCATGCCCAGGGGATTCAATACTGGTGAATACGTTAATGAATGATATTCGTGTTTCATTCAGCCTTGTATCAATCATAAAGGGCTTTTAAGATAAATTTTAATTTTAACGAAATACCTAGGTTTATAATTGGGAAAATGTTGAAGATAACAACAAATTTCCCAATGAGTATAATTTTTAAACTGTTCGTTGGTTAAGTTACAGATCTTGAATTCCTTCCATTAGTGACGACCCATCAATCCACCTAAATTATGCTGCAATGTTATTCAATATTGGAGACAGAAGAGCTGCTGCGAAGCAATTTTCCCAGTTTCAGAAAAAGTTTGAAACATTCAAGGCAGCGAATGCAGATGATGTGGATCCTCAGGTAAGCACAAGTGATATTCTTACGTTATTTGTTTATGGCCAGTTTGTCGAAATTCTAATACGTACCACGCTGGGTAAGATCGTCAAAGGGTTGGTTTGGTGTCAGCCTAACCTTACTGTCAGCCAAACACTGGACTGTTCTAACCCATCCTTAAACAGCGTTTTAAAACCACTATTGAACAAATATTCCTATTTTTTTGTAAGGAACGCAGTTGGTACTTGCAATGCTCTCAAGTGCTTAAATAGCATCTGGTAGAATTTTCATTTCTGCAGATTAACATGATATTTTCAGATGTAGAGTATAAAATGCTAAAAAGTTTAACTAAGTAATAATTCAGTGTGGTTTTTCATTGTTCTCCTTTGTCACCTTTGATTAAGATAAAAGCCTTACCAGGCTATCGTAAAAAGACCTCCGAAGCTCCATTCAAGCCTCAAATTCGCTTGAAAGTTTGAAATTAGTGTCACGTCTATACTGAAATTTTTCAGAACTTTGAATTCATAATTTTGCATTTAAAATTCTTACAAGAACGTTTTTGACGTCTTTGCAGTGCTGACAATTCATTTGACAAACTTGCAGCCTTTAAAACCACCTTTATTGCCACCTTTAAAATTTTCCAATACTGGCATTCTTGTTGTCTACAGTAAACGTTACGTTTGGATTCTGCGCTTGTTACAGCTCAATCTTTTAAACCCAGGGTGGTCAATGTCCTCTTTGGTAGTTTCTCTCAATATTTAGTCTCAAAATAATTGTTTATTTTCAGCTGAGAATGAAAGCTCCTTTTCTTTTTGATTATGTTTAGTGTAATCTTTATTTAGATTTTTGATGTCTCTGCAAAACTTGAACCCCTCCTCGTTGTTGGTGGAACATACGCTAAGAATGCTAAGAGATCAGGCAAAGATAATACCCAGCTAAGAACGGATACAAAAGGAGAAACAAACGCAGATGAAGAGGAAGTATAATTAATATACATTGTGGTATCGAAGCTGAAATTGTAAATATAAAAAACTCTTTAGTTATATGTGCTTTTTCATCCAATGGCTTAGAGCCTGTGATCCTCTCTTACATCAGATCCCCGCAAAATTTTACACAAGCATTTTTTAATGTAAATGACACGAAGCGGATTCACCATGGTGAAGTTATGTCTTCAATGTGGCCTTTTTATTTGCGGAGAAGAATACTCAAGTAACAAACATATAATTGAACTAGAAATATCAGCACCTTTGTTTTATTTCATTGTTGTGAAAAAATGTTTGTAGATGATATATATAAAGAATTATTCAAATTACATTAAATTGACGTTAGAAATTTACTGTACCTTTTTTATAATGAATAAACCGACCCTTAGTCTCTCTTAACATTTAAGAACGATTGTGGCGAAAGATTGCCGATAAAATTTGAAGAAATTTGCCAATTGACTTTTAGCAGGTGACTAAGTTTTCTGAAAAGATAATACAACCTGTAAGAAAACCATTTCAGAATTTGAATTTTAAGAGTAAATGGCTATTTCTACCATGTGCGTAGAAATTCTCTCTCTTATCTCAAGAAATTTAGCGTCAGAATCAAGAGCTTAGCGGTATGAAGGTTGATCCATAAAATAATCAATTTTGTCCCTTGCTAGACGTTGACCTTCTAATCTCGGTAAAACACCCTCATTAACTTTCTTTTGAAAACAGCTTTTAAAGATATTGGGCAATCCATGGCTTATCCTCTCAATCTTTCAACTCAGTAGCGAGAAAAAATTCAAATGAGCTCTTAAAATCGCTTATCTGTGATGTCACGTTTTAAAAATCCCTCCCAGTTCATTAAGATTACATTTTTCTCGTAATGATTTCGCCCTTGCTTCCTTCGGTGCAAATACGTTCTATGTCCCATTTAATTAATATTTCATCGTGACTGTGAACATCTAGTCATGAAGATTGAGAAAAATCTGAAGCACCTGTCAATAGATTACCAGATGAATTTCCGCTTAACGTTATGTCTGAGCAGCGGGTCCAAGGATCCCTTGGCTTTTTAGTCCCATGGAAGACCATGTTGACTTTGACACATTTTATACCACATACACCAGCAACTGTCATTGCTACAAGCTACTTCTTCTTCTACGTTGGACAAGGAGTCAATTGTATCTTTTGAGATCTTTGAATTGCACACGGCATTGTTCCTTGGAACCCCAAATACGCAGCAGCCATTCATTTCCATAGGCATCGCTGCAAAATAATTTTAAAACATCTGTTACTATAATTTGGCAAGTCATTTTCTACTAAAAGACTGCTATTCCAAACTATGCGAGTTGGAGTAAAAAAGGAACCAGTAAATATCACCAGCTTTGAGTGAACCGTTTATTAGCGGCGATTCGTGAATCCAGATTTACGTTTAATTGTTTGGAACCTACTTGCAGATGCCTTTGGCTACAGAACCTACTGTTTAGAGAGCTGACTTTATCTCGACCAACCAGCATGGACATAGCTTGAAAAATTCAGGATGCTTTTCTAAAATGTCTTTTTAGAGCTAAATGTAAACAAATGCTAAGGAAGATTTCAAGGATATTTCTTAAGCTCAGATAAAATGCCGCTATAAGGAACGAATTTAATTAGCAGACAAATAATTCACTCCAAAAAATTTGTGCCACAGTCTATGCCTTGTGAAAGGAGCTTTCAAGGAACAAAACATGAATACTGGACATAATATGGCACATATCCTTATTGTAAATGATTGTTAGGTTTGTTTAGCCTCATTTCTAAGAAAAATCCTGCAAGTGATACACCATAAAATCACATATTAGCCAAGAAACAGTCATAGCACTAAAAGAAGATTCTTTTAAAGGATTTTTTTCAAAAAAACCGGCAACTATTGAAAAACTGAACTGAATTCTTGTTTATTGTGTTTATAAAGAAACCGCTTAGCCTGTTCCAAGATGAAAATATTTCCTTAAAAATTGGCAGATTTTTCTAAGCTTATAGCCTTACTATTTCATAAAAAATCATCCAATCTAAAAAGCCACCATTTTTTCAAGAAAACCATTCTAATTCCAGTTCTTTATTCAATTCTTGTTTATTCCAATCAGAAAGAAGAGGGTAAGCCTGTTCCGAGATGAAAAAATTTCCTTAAAAATTGGCAGATTTTTCTAAGCCTATAGCCTAACTATTTCATCAAAAATCATCCAGTCTAAAAAGCCACCAATTTTTCAAGAAAACCATTCTAATTCCAGTTCTTTATTCAATTCTTGTTTATTCCAATCAGAAAGAAGAGAGTACGCCTGTTCCAAGATGAAAAAATTTCCTTAAAAATTGGCAGATATTTCTAAGCCTATAGCCTTACTATTTCATCAAAAATCATCCAATCTAAAAAGCCACCAATTTTTCAAGAAAACTATTCTAATTCCAGTTCTTTATTCAATTCTTGTTTATTCCAATCAGAAAGAAGAGGGTAAGCCTGTTCCGAGATGAAAAAATTTCCTTAAAAATTGGCAGATTTTTCTAAGCCTATAGCCTTACTATTTCATCAAAAATCATCCAGTCTAAAAAGCCACCAATTTTTCAAGAAAACCATTCTAATTGCAGTTCTTTATTCAATTCTTGTTTATTCCAATCAGAAAGAAGAGGGTAAGCCTGTTCCAAGATCAAAAAATTTCTTTAAAAATTGGCAGATTTTTCTAAGCCTATAGCCTAACTATTTCATCAAAAATCATCCAATCTAAAAAGCCACCAATTTTTCAAGAAAACTATTCTAATTCCAGTTCTTTATTCAATTCTTGTTTATTCCAAACAGAAAGAAGAGGGTAAGCCTGTTCCAAGATCAAAAAATTTCTTTAAAAATTGGCAGATTTTTCTAAGCCTATAGCCTAACTATTTCATCAAAAATCATCCAGTCTAAAAAGCCACCAATTTTTCAAGAAAACCATTCTAATTCCAGTTCTTTATTCAATTCTTGTTTATTCCAATCAGAAAGAAGAGGGTAAGCCTGTTCCGAGATGAAAAAATTTCCTTAAAAATTGGCAGATATTTCTAAGCCTATAGCCTTACTATTTCATCAAAAATCATCCAATCTAAAAAGCCACCAATTTTTCAAGAAAACTATTCTAATTCCAGTTCTTTATTCAATTCTTGTTTATTCCAAACAGAAAGAAGAGGGTAAGCCTGTTCCAAGATCAAAAAATTTCTTTAAAAATTGGTAGATTTTTCTAAGCCTATAGCCTAACTATTTCATCAAAAATCATCCAGTCTAAAAAGCCACCAATTTTTCAAGAAAACCATTCTAATTCCAGTTCTTTATTCAATTCTTGTTTATTCCAATCAGAAAGAAGAGAGTACGCCTGTTCCAAGATGAAAAAATTTCCTTAAAAATTGGCAGATATTTCTAAGCCTATAGCCTTACTATTTCATCAAAAATCATCCAATCTAAAAAGCCACCAATTTTTCAAGAAAACTATTCTAATTCCAGTTCTTTATTCAATTCTTGTTTATTCTGATCAGAAAAAAGAGGGTAAGCCTGTTCCGAGATGAAAAAATTTCCTTAAAAATTGGCAGATTTTTCTAAGCCTATAGCCTTACTATTTCATCAAAAATCATCCAATCTAAAAAGCCACAAATTTTTCAAAAAAACCATTCTAATTCCAGTTCTTTATTCAATTCCTGTTTATTCTGATCAGAAAAAAGAGGGTAAGCCTGTTCCGAGATGAAAAAATTTCCTTAAAAATTGGCAGATTTTTCTAAGCCTATATAGCCTTACTATTTCATCAAAAATCATCCAGTCTAAAAAGCCACCAATTTTTCAAGAAAACCATTCTAATTCCAGTTCTTTATTCAATTCTTGTTTATTCCAATCAGAAAGAAGAGGGTAAGCCTGTTCCAAGATGAAAAAATTTCCTTAAAAATTGGCAGATTTTTCTAAGCCTATAGCCTTACTATTTCATCAAAAATCATCCAGTCTAAAAAGCCACCAATTTTTCAAAAAAACCATTCTAATTGCAGTTCTTTATTCAATTGCTGTTTATTCCAATCAGAAAGAAGAGGGTAAGCCTGTTCCGAGATGAAAAAATTTCCTTAAAAATTGGCAGATTTTTCTAAGCCTATAGCCTTACTATTTCCTCAAAAATGATCCAGTCTAAAAAGCCACCAATTTTTCAAAAAAACCATTCTAATTCCAGTTCTTTATTCAATTCTTGTTTATTCCAATAAGAAAGAAGAGGGTAAGCCTGTTCCAAGATGAAAAAATTTCCTTAAAAATTGGCAGATTTTTCTAAGCCTATATATAGCCTTACTATTTCATCAAAAATCATCCAGTCTAAAGAGCCACCAATTTTTCAAAAAAACCATTCTAATTCCAGTTCTTTATTCAATTCTTGTTTATTCCAATCAGAAAGAAGAGGGTAAGCCTGTTCCGAGATGAAAAAATTTCCTTAAAAATTGGCAGATTTTTCTAAGCCTATAGCCTTACTATTTCATCAAAAATCATCCAGTCTAAAAAGCCACCAATTTTTCAAGAAAACCATTCTAATTCCAGTTCTTTATTCAATTCTTGTTTATTCCAATCAGAAAGAAGAGGGTAAGCCTGTTCCAAGATGAAAAAATTTCCTTAAAAATTGGCAGATTTTTCTAAACCTATAGCCTTACTATTTCCTCAAAAATCATCCAGTCTAAAAAGCCACCAATTTTTCAAAAAAACCATTCTAATTCCAGTTCTTTATTCAATTCCTGTTTATTCCAATCAGAAAGAAGAGGGTAAGCCTGTTCCGAGATGAAAAAATTTCCTTAAAAATTGGCAGATTTTTCTAAGCCTATAGCCTTACTATTTCATCAAAAATCATCCAGTCTAAAAAGCCACCAATTTTTCAAGAAAGCCATTCTAATACCAGTTCTTTATTCAATTCCTGTTTATTCCAATCAGAAAGAAGAGGGTAAGCCTGTTCCAAGATGAAAAAATTTCCTAAAAAATTGGTAGATTTTTCTAAGCCTATAGCCTAACTATTTCATCAAAAATCATCCAGTCTAAAAAGCCACCAATTTTTCAAGAAAACCATTCTAATTCCAGTTCTTTATTCAATTCCTGTTTATTCCAATCAGAAAGAAGAGGGTAAGCCTGTTCCAAGATGAAAAAATTTCCTAAAAAATTGGAAGATTTTTCTAAGCCTATAGCCCTACTATTTCCTCAAAAATCATCCAGTCTAAAAAGCCACCAATTTTTCAAAAAAACCATTCTAATTCCAGTTCTTTATTCAATTCCTGTTTATTCCAATCAGAAAGAAGAGGGTAAGCCTGTTCCAAGATGAAAAAATTTCCTTAAAATTTGCCAGATTTTTCTAAGCCTATAGCCCTACTATTTCCTCAAAAATCATCCAGTCTAAAAAGCCGCCAATTTTTCAAAAAAACCATTCTAATTCCAGTTCTTTATTCAATTCCTGTTTATTCCAATCAGAAAGAAGAGGGTAAGCCTGTTCCAAGATGAAAAAATTTCCTTAAAAATTGGCAGCGTTTTCTAAGCCTATAGCCTTACTATTTCATCAAAAATCATCCAGTCTAAAAAGCCACCAATTTTTCAAGAAAACCATTCTAATTCCAGTTCTTTATTCAATTCTTGTTTATTCCAATCAGAAAGAAGAGGGTAAGCCTGTTCCAAGATGAAAAAATTTCCTTAAAATTGGCAGATTTTTCTAAGCCTATAGCCTTACTATTTCATCAAAAATCATCCAGTCTAAAAAGCCACCAATTTTTCAAGAAAACCATTCTAATTCCAGTTCTTTATTCAATTCTTGTTTATTCCAATCAGAAAGAAGAGGGTAAGCCTGTTCCGAGATGAAAAAATTTCCTTAAAAATTGGCAGATTTTTCTAAGCCTATAGCCTTACTATTTCATCAAAAATCATCCAATCTAAAAAGCCACCAATTTTTCAAGAAAACTATTCTAATTCCAGTTCTTTATTCAATTCTTGTTTATTCCAATCAGAAAGAAGAGGGTAAGCCTGTTCCAAGATGAAAAAATTTCCTTAAAAATTGGAAGATTTTTCTAAGCCTATAGCCTTACTATTTCCTCAAAAATCATCCAGTCTAAAAAGCCACCAATTTTTCAAAAAAACCATTCTAATTCCAGTTCTTTATTCAATTCCTGTTTATTCCAATCAGAAAGAAGAGGGTAAGCCTGTTCCAAGATGAAAAAATTTCCTTAAAAATTGGCAGATTTTTCTAAGCCTATAGCCTTACTATTTCCTCAAAAATCATCCAGTCTAAAAAGCCACCAATTTTTCAAAAAAACCATTCTAATTCCAGTTCTTTATTCAATTCCTGTTTATTCCAATCAGAAAGAAGAGGGTAAGCCTGTTCCAAGATGAAAAAATTTCCTTAAAAATTGGCAGCGTTTTCTAAGCCTATAGTCTTACTATTTCATCAAAAATCATCCAGTCTAAAAAGCCACCAATTTTTCAAGAAAACCATTCTAATTCCAGTTCTTTATGAAATTCCTGTCTATTCCAATCAGAAAGAAGAGGGTAAGCCTGTTCCGAGATGAAAAAATTTCCTTAAAAATTGGCAGATTTTTCTAAGCCTATAGCCTTACTATTTCATCAAAAATCATCCAGTCTAAAAAGCCACCAATTTTTCAAGAAAGCCATTCTAATACCAGTTCTTTATTCAATTCCTGTTTATTCCAATCAGAAAGAAGAGGGTAAGCCTGTTCCAAGATGAAAAAATTTCCTAAAAAATTGGTAGATTTTTCTAAGCCTATAGCCTAACTATTTCATCAAAAATCATCCAGTCTAAAAAGCCACCAATTTTTCAAGAAAACCATTCTAATTCCAGTTCTTTATTCAATTCCTGTTTATTCCAATCAGAAAGAAGAGGGTAAGCCGGTTCCAAGATGAAAAAATTTCCTAAAAAAATGGAAGATTTTTCTAAGCCTATAGCCCTACTATTTCCTCAAAAATCATCCAGTCTAAAAAGCCACCAATTTTTCAAAAAAACCATTCTAATTCCAGTTCTTTATTCAATTCCTGTTTATTCCAATCAGAAAGAAGAGGGTAAGCCTGTTCCAAGATGAAAAAATTTCCTTAAAAATTGGCAGATTTTTCTAAGCCTATAGCCTTACTATTTCCTCAAAAATAATCCAGTCTAAAAAGCCACCAATTTTCAAAAAAACCATTCTAATTCCAGTTCTTTATTCAATTCCTGTTTATTCCAATCAGAAAGAAGAGGGTAAGCCTGTTCCAAGATGAAAAAATTTCCTTAAAAATTGGCAGCGTTTTCTAAGCCTATAGCCTTACTATTTCATCAAAAATCATCCAGTCTAGAAAGCCACCAATTTTTCAAGAAAATCATTCTAATTCCAGTTCTTTATGAAATTCCTGTCTATTCCAATCAGAAAGAAGAGGGTACGCCTATTCCAAGACGACAAAATTTCCTTAAAAATTAGGAGATTTTTCTAAGCCTATAGCCTTACTATTTCATCAAAAATCATCCAGTCTAAAAAGCCACCAATTTTTCAAGAAAATTATTCTAATTCCAGTTCTTAACTCAATTCTTGTTTATTCCAATCAGAAAGAAGAGGGTACGTCTGTTCCAAGTTGAAAAAATTTCCTTAAAAATTAGCAGAATGTGTTAAGCCTATAGCCTAACTATTTCATCAAAAATCATCCAGTCAAAAAAGCCACCAATTTTTCAAGAAAACTATTCTAATTCCAGTTCTTTATTCAATTCTTGTTTATTCCAATCAAAAAGAAGAGGGTAAGCCTGTTCCAAGATGAAAAAATTTCCTTAAAAATTGGCAGATTTTTCTAAGCCTATAGCCTTACTATTTCCTCAAAAATAATCCAGTCTAAAAAGCCACCAATTTTTCAAAAAAACCATTCTAATTCCAGTTCTTTATTCAATTCCTGTTTATTCCAATCAGAAAGAAGAGGGTAAGCCTGTTCCAAGATGAAAAAATTTCCTTAAAAATTGGCAGCGTTTTCTAAGCCTATAGCCTTACTATTTCATCAAAAATCATCCAGTCTAGAAAGCCACCAATTTTTCAAGAAAACCATTCTAATTCCAGTTCTTTATGAAATTCCTGTCTATTCCAATCAGAAAGAAGAGGGTACGCCTATTCCAAGACGACAAAATTTCCTTAAAAATTAGGAGATTTTTCTAAGCCTATAGCCTTACTATTTCATCAAAAATCATCCAGTCTAAAAAGCCACCAATTTTTCAAGAAAATTATTCTAATTCCAGTTCTTAACTCAATTCTTGTTTATTCCAATCAGAAAGAAGAGGGTACGTCTGTTCCAAGTTGAAAAAATTTCCTTAAAAATTAGCAGAATGTGTTAAGCCTATAGCCTAACTATTTCATCAAAAATCATCCAGTCAAAAAAGCCACCAATTTTTCAAGAAAACTATTCTAATTCCAGTTCTTTATTCAATTCTTGTTTATTCCAATCAAAAAGAAGAGGGTTAGCCTGTTCCAAGATGAAAAAATTTTCTGAAAAATTGGCAGATTTTTCTAAGCCTATAGCCTAACTATTTCATCAAAAATCATCCAGTCTAAAAAGCCACCAATTTTTCAAGAAAATTATTCTAATTCCAGTTCTTAATTCAATTCTTGTTTATTCCAATCAGTAAGAAGAGGGTATGCCTGTTCCAAGATGAAAAAATTTTCTTAAAAATTGGCAGATTTTTCTAAGGCTATAGCCTTACTATTTCATCAAAAATCATCCAGTCAGAAAAGCTGCCAATTTTTCAGAAAAACCATTTTTCTAGTTTTTCTATGGTGTCATCATTTTCCATCTCACGAATGATTTTCTCAAAGTGACGCTGTAAGTGATATGGAATCTGTCTTGGCAGCTAAATAATTGCTTTGGCGTCAGGTTGTAAATGAAAATGCACAGAGCTTGCTTTCAGTTCACCAAGACCAGTAAAGACATTCTCATAGTTGGATATGATGCTTGCAACTGATGGCTGGGTTTTGTTTCTAAGGCTTTCAAAATCATTCTTGTTGTCCAGCTGGCTTTGTCTAGTGGCACAGGAGATAGCACTGATTTGGCTTGGAGAAACATGATTCCGTTAAAGATTCAGCTAATGTGCAAAAGATCAGGTTGCAAGGATTACCATGGAGATCCTTGTCACCAATAACAACCCGTGTCTTTCTTTGTTGTATTATGCTACATTGTGTCAAAGGTGATTTGTCCTTTTGGAATTATGATGGTACTCCCATATGGCTGCTGTGTGGCTGGAGTGTGAACAATTCTTCTGGTATTTTGGGCACATTGCTGTCAAGGAGAATATTGGCTTCCACACCAGTGTCAATTAGTGCCTGAATTTTTGCTATACCAAGGCTGAGTTCTGCTTTTTTGTGCTTGCTTGATATGCTATTAATTTCCTTTTGGTGAGTATGTATGATGGATGTCATTGTGGAAATACAGCAAAAAGCAGACAGCAGAAGAAAAAGCCTTTTTGCCACATAAATTGCAAAAAGAATTTTTGGCAGTGCAGTTTGGACCTCTGTCGCAGGTGCATCTGCCACAGCCAGCGCAACAGAGGACTTTGTTGGCACCCTGGGCAGGCATGAAATTTTCCTGAAAATTTTCCCTTTTTGGGCTTTCTAGGAGTATTTTCCCACTTTTTTACTGACCTCGTTTACAGTTGTATGTTGGGGGTTTTCACTTTCAACAGAGTTAAGTTGAAAGGAGCTACTAAGGGAATCAGAGTCTATCGATTTTGTGGCTTCTTTGGTGGCTTCAATTTTTCTGGCTGCTGAAATTAATCTAGGCCAAATCATGTTCTTTTTCAAGAGAATTTTGTCTGATTAGCTACAGTGGTGCTTACTATTATATGATCTCTTATCAAAGTCTTGTGAATTTGATCCTCATGTGAATCAGTATTTGTATACCTGAATGCACATATTATATATCAGCATATTGACAGATTCTGTTAATTAAAGGATCAATTTTCTCACCTGGTTCCTGTTTGAGTTGATTAAACTGATGGTGCAAACATATCTGGTTTTGAGATTTCTGGTACTTTTGCTTTATTGTGTTCCTACATACTGGCATCTGATGTATCCTCTTTCAGTTCACCCATTGAGGCCAGCAGTTCATACCACATTTCCCACAAGTCTATAAAATCCCTGAATGCTTGTAGCGTGTTTCCCTCGTGTTATGAAGGGTCAAAAAGTGGACTTCCCACTGCTTTGGCTAGTGGGTTCATCTTTATCGAGATATCGCTGCTCGTCCCCAGTTAAAACAGCGTAATAAAATAAATGCAAACTCTATTATCGTCCATATTCATCTAATTCATGTCAATGCGAGGTTAATAAAACAGAACAGAACATATAAACGAGGCCTATAGTCTTAATAATTGATCAAAAACTGTCCGGTCTATAATGCCGTTAATTTTTCGACAAAATCACTCTTATTCTAGAACATAATTTAATTCTTGTCTATTCTGATCATAAAGAAGCCGCTTCGCCTGTTTCAAGACGAAGAAAGTTTTGAAAAATTGCCGATTTGTCTAAAGCTTTACTATTTGATAGAAAATCGTTGAGTCAGAAAAGCTGGAGGTTTTACGAAAAATGACTCTTGTTTCATGACCCAATCCAATTCTTAATTTTTCTTATTAAAGGGAAGCAGCTTAACCTGTTTTTAGATGAAAAAAGTTTCCAAGGCTATAGTTTTACCTGTCCAAAAAATTTCTTATTCCAATATTTGCCGAATTTCTTGTTATTTTATAGCACTTTGATTGTCAATCATTTGAAAACAGTATGAGAAGTCATTTTTAACAATTTTCAATATTTTGTAAGCAAAGCAAACTTCCTTCAAAAGTGGAAATTTTGCCAAATCTACAGGCTTACACAAAGGGTACCACTTTACACTGGTACATGGTTTGTTGATCACTTGCAAACAATATTTAAGGTCTTCCATATATATTTTCAACAATTCTCAAGAACGCGACATTTCCTTTAAAAATGAAAAACTTTTACCCTATCTTTGCCTATATTTACAGCTAATTACTGGCACTTTGATTGTCAATCACGTTCAAACGTCATCAAAATTAAAACTATTTTTTGATAACAATTGTTCCAAGCCTATAGGCTTATCTTTTAATGAATAATCATTTCTTCAATCTGTTTCAATTTTAAAATGCCACTTATTCCATGCTTATACCTTACATTTTCATCACTCTTTAAAGCCAACAAGTGTCCAGGACTTTTAACTAGATTTAATCGTTATCAAAAACCTACATTAAGGACCGTAACAGTTTCTAAGGAATACAATTTTCCTTGAAAAATAGCGAAATTTTTTATCGTTTTAGGTTGTTTTTCATTTTTGTAGGAATTAATTTTTGTAGCTAATCTTTAGCACACTGGCAGTCAAAAAATCTCCAACGGTATTTAAAGTCATCCTAAACATTATTTAAGGTAATTCAAGCACAAAATTTTATCTTCAAAAATGGCGACTTTTCCGGGCCCATAGGAACAGTCTTAACACTTCCTTGCCGACTAGACAAACATTTTTAAAAAGGCATTCAGAAAAAACCCTTTAAGAAAGTCAGTAAAATTTGCGATTAAGATTACCAATTAACATTTACCCGATTGCAGTGTTTTAGAAAACCATAACCTGTAAATTAGAGGACAAAGTTGTATTTTGGGTAATTTTGCACACTGGCTGCATTGGTGCCACGCTAGTGAGCAATTTTTTGAAAATAACATTTTGTTAAGCAATTAACTATTAGCAATTAATTAATTCCACACTGGCGGAAATTCAAAAGAAAAATGTCACTATGGTTTATTAGATGAAAATACCACCAGTAACTGCTTGGATGGATACTCGTATACATACTTAAAACTACCACTGGGCTACAAGTTCGAAAATTGACAGTAATCATTTCACTACTAGTATTAATACTGGTAGTTACTACTGGGTTGCTAGATCTAACCATGACAGTTACCACTGGGTAATTAGTTCTAATTCTGACAACTACTACTGGGTTACTAGTTCTTAAACTAAGACACCACAAGGTTAATATATAGTTCTAAAAATGGAAGTTATCACCAGGATACTAATTTTAATGCTGGTTCTAAAACTAGCAGTTACCAAGTTACCACTCGGTTAATAGTTCTAATAATTGCAGTTACCACCAGGATACTAGCTTTAATACTGGCAGTTACTACCGGGTTAATAGTTTTAATAATGACAGTTACCACAGAGTTGGGATTTCTTATATAGCACAAACAACCGACAACGACTGCTTGCCTAACTCGCTTATTGACAGCTGTATTTTCTTGTGGTACTTTTTGACACTAGCAAAACAAAAAGCAAAGTAAGCAGTGTTATCGCTACTTCGTGCAATCTTCAAATTTTGCGGTACCAAAATAGCATATCATAGCCGACAATTTATTTAATTAATTGCATCAGATATAAATCTTGATATATCAAGATGTTAGATAAGGAATTGATTGCTTTATCAAATCATTATAAAAATTTGTGGTTTCCAATCATAATAGCTGCCAGAACTCGTGTTTTGAGCATAAAAAGAATGAAGAGGTTTTAAAAAATAAATCCTTCCAGCTAAGTACTACCATGTGGTTGGAAAAGCTTTTAAAAAGGTTTTGCAAGAATATCATACTTACTGAGACAAAATTGTAAAATAGAGCAAAAACAAAAAATAGTAATAGTTCGATTTCGAGTTCGATTTCACCTAGAATTCGATACCTGGTACGTAAAAAGATTTGTCGGCACACAAATGAATAACTTTTATGAATAGAAATCTGAAACTTGCAAACATTTACAAACTGCAATGCCGCCTAATGATTTTTTGGCAGTAGCGGAACGTTTGGGGGGGGGGGGGAAGGCTGGTGCGGGGAAGATGGGCGACGACCCCTCAGCGCTTTCGCCACATTGTCAGCAAAAACACAGTTTTTAGCGGCTGTGTCAGTAAATTTTTTCATTTGTCGATGAATTCGTCTGCTTTTGTGGGTTTTGTCCGCCATACCTGAAAAAAACATTTTCCCCAGCAAAAGTTCGGCTCATTGTCCTGTCATTCTTGACATCCGGACGACAGTGTAAACCAAAGATGGAAAAATGACTTGCAAAAGCGAGGTAATGATTCCACTAACTTCTGTTGGTTAGCACAGTTCGTTCATATCTGTTTTAGACAACGCGAAACAAGAACTAATGAAATAACGACGTAGACAAACCGATCACAAAAATGTTCAAACGATGTCAACGTGAATTGGATTTTCTGACTGGAATTAAAAAGTCTGTCTCTTTTTCATTGTACAGTAAACAAGAGAAAATTGGATATCCACTCCTAAACGCAAATAGTTTCTTTTCAAATCTTGGCTTGTTTGTATTGTTGTTCAATCGAAATGCTAAACGCACTAAAGAAAAATCTATTCAATTAGTTATGCTTATAGTGAGAAATCAAGTGTTGATTTGTGCTCAAGTCGATTTTGAAGAAATTTTTAAGGTCATACGGAATCAATCTTTTTATGTGGCAGGTTTTTACTAACGAACTATAATTGCTCTTTAGCAACAAAATTCAAAGTTTTTCACAATTAGGAAGTTGCTCTCGGTTTTGGTGTGATGCAGTTTTTTCCAACCAGCAGGTACATATGTAAATACGAATACACAGTAAAGAGCAGTGGAGACTTGTCAAAAATCTGAAAACAAATGTAACCCGCTAGCTCATTTCATTCGATGCGTGATATGTACATTGTTTCTACAGAACTTTTATAGCAGTATGTATCTATACAGAAACGATGCGTCATAAATGTTTGATCAGTGAAAGATGCGGATCTAGGCTGGTTTAACGACAAGAAGAATAGAATTGGAGAGGGCACTATTGATTATCGTTTAAATGCAAGGTATGTTTTTAGGCAGTGATTAGAATAAGACTGAAGATCTATGCTAAGAGATGCACATTATTATAATGTTCCTGTGCTACTCTTCTTCTAAGTACATTCTGGTAAAAAATAAATTACATTTTTAGGTATGTTGTAGTCTCAACAGTGTTTTAGAAACAAACCTCCTCGTGTATGCAACAATTAACACAGCCACCTCCTCGTGTATGCAACAATTTGTCATTTTTCTTTGACTCTGTTAAATATTTTCAAACGTAATTTGCAAGCAATCTTGTGAAAGTTCGAGAAAAATTTCTCTATCAGAGTTTAGTGGACCAACTAGAAACACTGACCTGACACGCGATCATCGTTTAACTCAATGAGCAATAAAACATGCTTTTCTCAAATGAAATTTAGAGCAGTAAAAAAACATTAGTAAAAAAGTCAATATGCTTGTGTTATTAAAGCTAAAATTTAATCATTTAACTCAAAATTTAACATCTTTGTTATTCACAACAAACATTCCTAATTGTTTATGTTTGTCAGGAAAACAAGAAATACATTTTGCTCATAATGTTAGTGACTATATAATGAAATGGTAAATATCGTAATTATCAAATATAATTGGCTGATAATTTTATGGTAATGACTTATTGAAAATAAAGAAATAACACGGCTTTCGAAAAATATGTACGTACCAAAAATGCTAAGGCTGACAAACAAGGATCTATGGTAAGCTTGCAGAAATAAGTAGAATTACTCTTCAAGAGCACCAATTATATTGGTTAGACATGCATTCGGAGAGTAAACAACTTGTTAGGCTGAATAAAGAAGTTAAGTTCTGCAATCCAAACTCAAAGTATAATCAAAAGTCAAGAATCATGAATTGAATGGATGAATGAATGAGTGAATTCAGTTGCTCTTACACTGCTCATAATGGTGAGACAGTTTGAGTCTAGATTCAGATTTAGAGATAGAGAAGGCGATAGCGGGCATGCTTACGCTCGCTCATGTGGAAGTACTACACATATGAAGCAATGTCAGGATCAGCAACTTGCAGCTCAAAGGAGCACACATTAAGGAGAAAATGCAAAGACCGGAGTGTTTTCAGAACCTTAACACAAATCCGTTTGGAAAACAGGCTGTTGTCAACATCAGAAGAGTGTCATTTCAATTGAAACCACCTGCGGCCTATTGCAATTGATTTTGCATAACATTTTTCATTGTTTGAAGTATTACTACAAAAAAGCTTCTTTCTGTTAACAAAACCTCTTAATTAACGAAAATTCAGAAATATCAAAGAATAGTCACAATCTAACGTGAATGTGGCGCCAGAGTACAGACGCATCAAAACAGATTTAAACTCAAGAAGAATTTAAAGGAATTAAGGATTAGGCAGTGCTTGCTTTGAAATGGAATTCGATCCTAAAGTTGAAAACAGAGTTCAGGCAGATCACAAATCGACAGCAAAACCACTTCAATAAGTATGAAACGATTAAGAGAGGCATACTACAGGGCATCTTTTAACATATAAAGTAGTGGGGAAATTCCCCACCAGCCCCTTTCATTGCCTCACCAGTGGAACATGTTTGCCCCACCACTTAAGTGCCCTTATGATTCGGTGACTTTTTTACTTTTTACTTTATTTGAGGTATTGGTGGATGAAATCTTCATTGAACAGGTTTCAAATCTCAATTGATTTTTCCCTGGAACTGCTGCTTATATATGTGATTCCCCTTCTAATTCACAAAGTCTATTTTTGAAAGCCTGTTTGTCTGTAAATTCTTCCTTTATCTATATGCCCTTTTCTCAAATGCCCCACCAGTGGAAAATTCTTAAAAAATGCCCTGGCATACTATATCCATGCAATAGTTGGAAAATTCATGTTCTTGAAGATGAAGAAAAAAACAGTTGAAAATGATGCATTGTGCGACAATATGCTCGACAGCCTTGGCTACGACACAGTTTGATTGATAAAAGTAAATTTATCACTGCCTCTTCTGGGACGTTTGAGGGAGTAACGCAAATAGCTTTCAAAAGACTTTTAAATTCCACGCAAACATTAACGAATTCACAAAGAGAATCTAATGCCTTTGGAGAAGATGAATTACTTAGCAAAAAGTATATTTACAACGCAAATTATTCTAAACAAATATGTTCAAAAACCAGTGATATTCTGAAAAGGGTTCAAAAGCTCAAATATTCTGAGCTACAAGCTTTTGATTATCAAGAGTGTAACAGAACACATGCCAACATTTCACATCCATACTGCTTATTTATGCATGATATCAGTTTACCAAAAATATATTGGTTGCCAGTAGTCACAATAGTCATTGTCCAAAAGAAAACTTTCTGAAAATCTATAAATAATATGGCATTGGTTTGAAGTTACTTTCTGGAAAATAATATCTGGCCAAAAGAATTTTGTTTATATTTGTTAGAACACTTTAAAAAGCAAAATTTAAAGATGTTTGCACTTCTTGGTAATTAATATAAATTAATATTGCAGAAACAGACTCTAAATTTAAGCTTAATATGATTGGGAATGAGCCGATTCAAACGACCAAAAGCTTTTAAACCAAAACATTTACAGATAAAAGAAATTTGTTGTTTAATCCGATGAATATTGTAAATCTCGAGATTTATTTCATTATAGTGATAAATAAATTGTGACATGAATATTAAATTAGCTGGCAACAAGATGAAAGTTAAGCGATGCTTTCTGTAAATCAACAAATTTGTTGATGCATGCCAAAAGGTTTTCACTGCACTGTGCGAGCTTTTCACTCGAATCTAAGGAAGTTAATTACTTTCTACGTGAAAAAGCACTTATTCAACGATGTACTATCTGTAGCAAGCGCGAACATGTGCAGAAGGAGATAACGAACTGGTTGCCTGTTGTCAGACACTTGACAGTGCGTAGATAATTATCAAATCATTTGATTAGCGAGATGGTACTATCAAGTCCTAATTCGTCATTGATAATAACTATCAACCCATTGGTCAGAGATTGCAAAGAAGCAGCCATAGAAAAAAACTATTGTAATAAAAAATATGGCACAAGTATCTCTTTGACGTAGGGATCAAAAAGAATATTGCTTGACTTTAAAGGCAATTTGTCACGACGTTGATTGATCATAAGAACAAAGGGATTTTTTATTGTTTCCAGTCCCCCTTTAAGTTATCGCATTGTAAAAAATATGGCGGAGCGCTGGAATCGTGTTTAGGCTATTGTTCCAGCTATTGTTCTCGCTAACCAATCCACAACGAGACAGATTGCCTTTAAGCTTTGACATATATCAGATCGATACCTAATTTCTTCTTGGCATCAACTATTCCTGCGAGAAAGGCTGATACGAAAGACGCAACATTACACTTGTCCTTAAAATCTATGCTTTAATAACAAACATTTTAGATTGAGAGAAACACTTAAACATTCTTAGGAGCAATGCAATGCAAATGAAAATAGCTACCATTATCTCCAGCACTGAATTTGTTATTCACTCTCTCACTAAAAAGCGAGTAGTTTCCAAGCTTCACATTTTGGGAAAGTTCCATGTGTTTTCGGAATGTAATCACTAGATGGCCATAACAATCGCATCTTTCTTTGATATTTTGCTTTTGTTCCCAATCTGCAATATTTTCTTCGTCAAAACAACCGTGCAATAATAGACGGCGGGCCTCCCACAGTTTCAAAACAACACATTTTTGAGGTGAAAATTGAGTTCTACCTTTAAGAATGATTCCGTTTGATTCAGCAGGTTGGAGTGTGTTCATGATACCTTGACTCGACAAAGATAACTGGCTGTTCACGTACAACAAATGCAAGGGAGGTGAATTCTAGGAAAAACAAAAGAGGAAAATCTGTAAGTACATCGACTGGTATTCATAATTGAATTATAAGATTCTCCGCATGAGAGAAAACAATAGCATTTGATATGTATACCAAGCAGAAATCAATTTATATACAGTAGCTTGTAAATTATATACAGGAATATATTTTGCCAGAGAAGGGATTAAACAAGCACATATAAACACTTAAATAATTTAAAATTCTAACGTTCAGAAGACTTAAAGATACTGCAATGCGGGTTTATCTTTCTGCAGATAACATGTACAGATAGGCTATCAATGCAAAATTAACGTGTCTTCGTCATGCCACGCTAGTGTGTAAAAGGGATGACAAACCGAGCTGATTCAAATTTTCACCAACTTTCGACAGATTATTAGCTTATAATTTAGTTTATTGGCTATTTTTGCTGACTACATTACATACTAATAAGTTTGCTATCTATTTTAAACAACATCTAAATCAGAAAAGACGTTGCAGCGCAGTAAAAAGATTCGGACTTGAACTGCATTAAAAGAATCCTTGCAACTCTGGTCCAGGAGCAGGAAAAATGATGATAAAAATTGACTAAATGTAATAAGCCTTGAATTTTTGAGAAAATTTCATACTCGAAATATATAAGACCTGTCACCTTGAAGTTTGATTTATTAGCAACAAAAATTTCTACCTCTTCTAGAAATCATCGCCTATTCAAAAAGGCCATTTTTTTACACACCCATGTTCAAAATACACTCTCCATGATATGTTTCAAAGAAAATGGTAAAAATATCATCTTCTAGTGGACAAAGAAGGCTCTAGCATTTTTTCACATTTTTAGACCAGCAAACGTTGGATGCAGTCACTATAAATAAATTTATTAAGCTTTTCCTAATAGGCCTTGCAGAAGTTCTAAGCTCAAAAACAATGTCATACTCTCGACTGTTACTACTTTCAGTTGTTAATTGTGTTATTACTTTGTGACCTTTTTCCTGTGACGTCAAACGACGTTCACGGGCCATAATGCTCATAGATGATAGTTTACACTACAAGAAGAATGAAGGCAAAAAGGTTCGACGTCCATCTTGTGATGCACAATGACAGACAGCTTCCGGTATATTCTGCGTTCATAAATCTTTTCAAGGAGCCAATCTATTTTCATAAACAAAACTAAATTTGTTTTCAAACCTTCTACAATTACACGGTAGCTCCTTATAATCGCCTCCAAATTCCGCTCTTAAATGCTAAATAAACACTGAAATAATTTTGGCCTGGACTTCTTCCCATAATTGATTGTTTTACCCGCCAGGAAATTACTCTTCGCCACAGATTAGAACAGCATCCATTATAAATCAACGCTCAGCGTCTGCAGATTATCAGAAAAGTAAATATTCAAAACAAAGATTCATTATATTAAATTCACACAAACCACATTCAATAAGATTTTTTTATCACTCTCTCCCCCTCCTCTATGAAAACGAGCTTGTTGGTCTCCTTTCATAAAAAAATTCTGATGAATCTCCTGATGTTTGTCAAAATGAATTTAATAGGCGAGTAATTGTCCCCTTGCTTGCTGGTTTTATGCACTAAGAAGGATTGAACCTCGAAATAGTGCAGCTTTTCACCGAAATGGTGAATCAGCCAAGATTTTACGTGATCAGAAATGTGGCTGCCAGTACGTAAAACATAAACGTGTACGAAACATATGCGAATAGTCTAGTCTTGGAAGTGTATTCAAGCTCGTAAGATCGAAAACGGCGAACAAAAGAAGCGACAAAACTGTTTAAGCAAAACATTTTCTAGTTTAATGTACGGAGGTGGCCGAAACAGGTAGATTTTCGAGGATTTCCTCTAGAAATCCCATTAACTCGGTTTTGTAGAAATTAAATGGTTGATTGCAATGAACATCATGCGAGATAGCTTCTATACCATTAACCTTTATATAACCTTACTAGACAGGGAATTGCATAACCATCTAGCAACCTGCCTTACAGAAATGTTTAAAGTTTAAATCATAAGAGTAAAAGTCACTGATAATTTGGGAACATTCTGACAAATGACCGGAATGTGCGTATCCGGAAGCGTGAAAAATGCACGGTCAGCAAAATTTCGATTTTCGAATTTTTCAAATCTCATGACACCATCAGAAAGAGCTTGCAAAAGATGTAAGAACAGCCACGTGATCTGGCCTATAAGCAAAAAGTTGTGGCTGTGGAAACGTTTTGTCAAACAACTTGCTTTCTGAAGTTACACGATAGACGCATAGGTGTAGCATTGTCATATAACATCATTAAAATGATACAATTTTACAACTTGCAAAGTAAGAACATTGTAATGCTCAAGGGAACCAGTACACCCTAGCCCAAAGATAGCTTTGTGGGGCATTTTTGCTCAGTTTTGCCAACCATTTTTGAAGGCATCATCTGATTTAAAAAAAATTTCAAAATCAAAATTTTGCTGGCCGTGCATTTTTCATGCTTCCGGATACGCGACTTCTGGCATTTGCCAGAATGTTCCCAAGGCTTAAAATTATCAGTGGCCTTTACTCTTATGATTAAAGCTTTAGAAACTTCGCTTAGGCGGGTTGCTAGATGGTTATGCAAAATCCCGTCTATACTTGCTATATTGCGTTTTCCTGGTTTTTCGTCAAATGTTCCAGAAAGGATACCTTTGTGTTGAGTACTGGTTTCATAATACCTTTCAAAATTTGCTGACTTAATCAAGTCATCAACATTGACTGGACTGTATATACTAAAGTTACTGCAAGGAAGGTATATATCTTCTTGCTTGACCAACTTATCATTAATTTCGGTTGAAACTTGGGCTTCGCCTCCAATACACAGCTCAGCATAGCGTTAATGTCGCCTTATTACAAAACCTAACATTATTTCACAGTTTTGACTAGGAGAAATAACATAACTGCTCCAGTCGCCTTGTGCGTGGCAAATTCCCAGTTCTTGGCGACAAAGTAGCAAACAATTGTCTGTTAAGTTATTCAAAATTTGTCTGTGTTACGTGAAAAGTTAGTAAATGTGTTCATTATCAAACATACAAAGGAGCTTTTTTTGCAAAAATTCACAGGTAATATACAAGAATGGCTCATTTTTAACTTATGACATGCAAAATATGTTTATATTTCAACGAGGACACATCTTGCGCACTTTCAACATACACAGCTACTACAGCACTCATTCGACGGTTCGTTTTTATATTTCATTTGATATCGCATTTCCATGCCAAACATTAGCATGCATTAAAGACTGCAGGTCACAGAGTCAAGGCGAGAATAACTGGCTTCTAAAATGCAATTTCACTCACACATGCAAGTCAAATGAACACAGAAGCTGCAGGAAAAAGAACAATAGAAGTTAGTGTACAGGCCTCTTTGGCAAGTATGACATTGGTTCACATCTTAAATTCAAATTATGAACTTTGGGATTATTGCAAATTTAAGCTATGGACTAGGAAAAGAGAAACAAAAAGCAATGAATGTGAAGGGCAAAGCATAAGATTGAAAAGAAATGTGAAGTTTAAACAAACTTAGGTTAAGTAATGTTTTCAAAGTGGGAAGTTACCTGAAATTTTATTAAAAATGAGACCAAACTCAACGCGGAGCCTAGTTAAGCATCTCACACCAAGAATACCGTGAAGCTTGAACTGGCGCATTTCATTAGAAGCTCTCTGGCCCTTGATGGTTGGTCAGGCAGAGGTTGCTAGATGACTTGTGAATTTAGCAACCAATGAGAAACCGTACACGGATGACGGACGTACTTGGAAGCAGGCGTAGTGATACTCAACTAGACGACCTTATAGCACTTCAAAACTTCAGAAAACAACGGAAATACAAAAGCATAGGTTTTCTCATAGAAAAAACAATGGAGCTATTATTATTGAGCTAATCGGTTCATCTTGTATGTTTTCTTGATTTTAAACACGCTGCAAAACCTTTTTATGAACTCTGAACTGTTGACGGACGGGACATAGTGCCTGTAACAGGGAAAACCATCCTGCTATCTACAAAAGTAGGGAGTTTTTGGCGTTTAATGTTGACAGATGCCAAAATGTTTAGATAAAAGAAAATCTTTGCGGTCCTTTTGCTTTAAAATTGTTATCATAAGATGGTATCAATTAGAAGAAAGTTGAAAACTGTTCTGAAAACTTCAAATTTTGTATAGGAAGGTACTGGAGCTTAGAAAGAGCAGGTTTCTATGACGCATGCAAACCAAAGGCGAGTGAGAGCTTTTATGGAACAAAGCCCTTAGATGTCACATATTATGATTATGACGTGTTGAATCTGAAAGTTGCACGCAGATGACTCGTTCTGAAAAATTTTACTTTTGTCAAATTTCAGTCAAGATCATCAAAATGTTCTTCTGAATGTCAAACAATAACAAGAAATTTGCAAAAACATGCAAAAAATCAGTCCAAAAAATGTAAAACATATAATCGTAAATGCTTTGCAAACTACAAGAAACTGTCCAAGCAAACAGCCTATTTTGTTATGGCTGCTCAGCCAAACAGAAAAATTAGACCTGCCATAGAAGTTGAACAAAACGAAGCTGTCACATGAAAGGTGGAAATAACGATGATATGGATAAATTATACCATATTTAATAGATAACATGCCAAGTATTTGTGACTGTTTCCAGCCACTTTAGACGGAACACAGACTTGGAAGTGAAACGTTATAAATCAAGAATATTTCTACCGAGGCGCCATGTTCATAATTTTTTGTTTAAATTTGATGCTCGAGTGCTTTTAATGTTGCTCTTATTTCAAAATTGATTTTTCAACAACTACATACTACGCTTTGTTTCTAAAACAACTAGATAACAGCTTTCAATCACATATTTACTTACAAGGTTGATTGATGATGAAGTCTGGTATTTGTTGCTAATATTAGATCAAAGTCTCCAAACGTTGCTTTTCTTTTTTGCTGGGAATGATCTTACGATACTCCAAATTTTGACAAATGGAGCATGGATGCTCATGTTAAACGCATTCTATACATTTAATATATACCTACAGATCATAAGTTAGAGAAAACTGCCAAAACAAACCATAAACAACTTCTGCAAAATCATAACAGCGATAAAATTAAAATTTATATATCAGGAAGTAAATCATACTACTTGCCTTATATATTGACTATCTGAAAATACTTCGATTAATTTCCAATTTGAGTCTATCAACTAGTGGCAGGAGAGCTGAAGGTCGAGGAACGTTTCCATGCGACTATACTTTGGCCTAAACGACAGCCTTCATAAATGGACGTTAAACAAACAGATTCTGCACATTGTTAATAACTTGAAACAGACACACTTTTTATTCGTATTCTCTTTCTTGTAAAAAGTCTAGATCAGAAGAAAAGAGTCAGATTCAAGGCAGTCTGTCCCCTATTGTGCTCAACTTTTTTCATGGGAGTGAAATTCACGCACCTTTGAGCTTGATCGATAATTAAACGATTAAAACCAATCAGAGACAGCTCTGATTCCAGAGCTTTTGAATCAAATGGCTGTGCTCCCGTTGAAGGGAAGCTGTGGCTAGATAAAATTTGTTCCCTGTTTTGTTTGTGCGACAGAAGTGTCAACAAGGAATAGAAATGCTTCCATTATCATCATTCAATTCCAGTAACTATACTTTCTTGCACTTTCCGATAGCTTTTTGCTCGCAGTTTCAAATGTCGTCCACTACCGCAGCTAGGCCAGCCAAAGCGAGCAGCGTAATCAGGCGGGAAGACGAATTGTTCAAATAAGCCAATCATTGAGGGGACAGACTGCCTTCAATTGGCAGGCTTTGATGCATTTGATTGCCTTTGATGAGGGGACAGACTGGTTTGTCCTGACTAAGCATAGCAAACTTGATAATCCGCGCGTGACTGTTTAATGTAGGCCCTCTGCGGCAGGGTAGTAAGGGTTCAGCCATCCCAGGTGGTTCTAATCTGTTTATCATTTATATTACGCTAGTTCTCACAATCTGCAAGCATTCTCAGAGTTCTTAAGATTATCACAAAGAAGGTGACAATGGGTCCAGACTTTATATCACTCTTCTCAACCTGTTACAGTCAAAAAAGCAAAAACATTCAAATGCGAACGCTAAAGCTAGCTGCCTATGCCTGCAATGGTCAGAGTAAGTAGTTTCCAAGTTCTTCAAGTTTTACTAGAAAAGAACCAATATTTGGTTCTTGATCAAATGTGACACGCTTTTTACATGGAAAAGTAGCTTCACAATATTTTGCTTCATGATTTTCATGATATGATTGACACTCAGGTTTTAAGAAATTAGGTTTTAAGACATAAATTTACTAAACCTTCAATTGGGTGAATGAATAATAAGGGGCATTTATTCGATTTGAGTGGCATTTATCCGCCCCTAATTATTCAATTTGGTGATTGAATAATTAGGGGCGAATAAATGCCACTCAAATCGAAAAAAAGTCTTCTATCTATATATCGGAGGAAGTAAACCAGAATAGAAATGAAATACGGTCGCCAGATTTGTAAAAATATTTGATTAATTGAATACATTTTCTTGACTGATGTGCAGATAGTTCTTAGTTATGGCACCAATTCATCCCAGGCTTAAAACTGCTAGAAAAATAATTTCTACTGTTACATATAATTAATTTCTTTCCTTTTGTGAATATAAATGGGCGAGGTTCCCAGCAGAATGATTCAAATTCTTTACGCGGTATCAGAAAGTGATAGATTTTTCTTTCAAATCAACTGTTGGCAATGGCTTCGGTACTTGTCATCTAGGATTGCTGCCTGGCGACCAGCTCGAGGCGTTAAAGCATTTTGCAACTGTTGTTATATAACGTCTAAGAGTGCTTTGATTCCCACATTTTTATTGTCTTTTCAAAAAGCTAGATTTCAGCTAAGTTACAATGTGGCTACAGCACGGTAAACATATCATTTAGTGGGTCGTGTTTCAGTGTAGTGGGTATTGAGTCATAAGCTTATCGGGCGGGTGGGAAGGGGCTTAGTATGGGTCTTGTCCGATTTTCATTACCAGAAAACCTCTCGAGTAGAGCTTGAAATACGATACATTTTGACTGATTACGGAAAAAGCAGCTCCCCCTCCTGCTCTTACGTCTTCTACGCCTATGTATAGAGGAAAAACGTTTCAGCATTACTAATTAATGATATATCCTGCCAAGGTCAAAATAATAGGGGTCATGCCCCCGTACCCTTTATGCGGTCTTTTCAAATGTACAATCTCTGGCTAGCAGATGTGTCGTGCTTCATTATTCATGGTACACTGTGACTCTGATATTTCTTAATTGGAAAAATAGGACCAACCAGCGTAAACCATAAATTTATAGTACAAGGAAGAAAGACGACAGAAAACCATATACACCCATTTTTGCAGCTCTGCCTCTACTGCATCGAACACTTTATGTCTGACCGGTAAAACAGTAATTTTCATTACCTTTATTAAATGTAAGAAACTTTAGGTAATGGCTTTGAAAAAACAAACATCTTACAATATATTGGCTAGAAACTTGTTCGTCTGACAGAGCATAAAACATCAGAATAAGGGTCCAAAAGAACACGATGAAAAATATATACCCAGTTGTGGATCGAAATAGGCCAATCAGAAAAACGCAAGCACAAGACCGGTATAGTTGACCAATCAGTGCCGCGTGCCGAAAAATTACCACTGGAGTCAACACAATGGCGGTTTTTCGTTTCTGTAGATCGATTCTAAAACTGCTAAATGGAAAGACGACCGGGCTCTGCCAAATATCCGTAACATGTCGTCATTATAGAGTTTAGCACAATCTGGGTTGTTGAAAAAATGTTGACCGATGGCAGAATTACTTGTTTTAACAGTGTTTCTAGACCTACAAGATCGAGAAGGCTGTTCTCTTTGAGGGGCACTTTTGTTTTTTATGTTGAAGGAACATGCTGTTTTATCCTATCCCCCAGTCTTTGGGTTGTGCGTCCTACGTAGCCAGAGGTATAAAACTTGAGGTACGAAACAATAAGATACTTCAGTTCTCCAAATCAAACAATTAAAAAATAATTGGCATATGACGAAAATTGGCATAAGAGTTTAGACGCAAAGAGCAGTGATCTTTCAAAAAATTTACAAATTCTTCACAACCAACTTCTCATATATTAGCCAACAACAAGCTTCAAATATATTATCCTTTGCAATTAAATAAAATATTGAATTATGACATAATCCATTCCAAATATTTCAAGTTTAACATAGGACTTAAATGTAAAAATTGATGACATGAAAACTTAAAAAATTTCAAGAAACAAGAAATGCTGCAAATTGTCAGCCTCAAAAAATGGAATATTTAACATTGGGTTCCTTTTTTTAAATATAAAAAGTAAGTGTATTCAAATGATAAATGTATACCAATGGAATCTTGAAATAAACTTGCCAGTTTTTCAACATAAACAATTCAGGATGCAAGTTTTGAGTTTATACCAAAAAATATTTTCAAGTGGTCACCCTGAATGAATAAAAGCAGTTAACTAGATGTCTTTCACTTGACTGAAACTAGCAGCTTCCTTTACTTGTAGTTTTTATTACGATATGCGTATTTCCTAGCCTTCAAACTTCGCAGACCTTAAAAACACCGATTTAGCTATTTAGCCATAAATTGATGTATTGTTTTCAAATGTACACAAGGACAGCTACATAAACCAATAATGTGGAATAGATACAAATCAAGCAATTAAAGTCGTCCCCACTCCTATTTTCGATGCCTATGCGGTGGTATCTAAAGGTAAACACTGTCATGTCTGTGCTAGAGATGGCACTCTGTTTGCAGCAAATAGCGCCCCACGATGGCCACAATTTTCAAGCAGCCCTCTCAAATGCAAGTTATGCTCTTTAACAGACCAAAGTATTTTTACATCAGGAACCTTGCCCTATAGTTCAAAGTGGAGGGGCAGTTGAGAAGAAAAGTTATCAGTCTTCATCAACATATCTTAATAAAAAGTGCGGGTCGTGGATTTTCAATCTATCTGCTGTCAATTTAGCTGTCAATCTATAAATTGATCTGCTCCAATTGCTACTTGCTCCAATTGCTACTTGCTCCAATTGCTACTTGCTCCAATTGCTACTTGCTCCAATTGCTACTTGCTCCAATTGCTACTTGCTCCAATTGCTACTAGCTCCAATTGCTACTTGCTCCAATTGTATCTTGCTCCAATTGCTTCTTGCTCCAATTGCTACTTGCTCCAATTGCTACTTGCTCCAATTGCTACTTGCTCCAATTGCTTCTTGCTCCAATTTGCTACTTGCTCCAATTGCTACTTGCTCCAATCGCTACTTGCTCTAATTGCTTCTTGCTCCGATTGCTTCTTGCTCCAATTGCTTCTTGCTCCAATTGCTACTTGCTCTAATTGCTACTTGCTCCAATTGCTACTTGCTCCAATTGAGACCCGATTTAAGTCAGTTTTCGAAATTATAGGCTTGGTGTCGTCCAGCGAAGACATTAATCCAAAATATGATTAGAAGACGTCAAGCTGGAGCACAATAGCTGTATCTGAATAAAGTAACTGCTTATCTACTTTAGACCATTTAAGTAGCAGACCAACCCATGAGTTTAGAGTCAGACTGCCATAGTGTGTGTCAACTGGTGTCAATACATTGTATAACACCTTTTGTACCTGCTGGTCCTCATTACAGAGCAACAAATCCCTGGAACATTTTGCAAATAAAAACTTCGAAGGGTACAATTATTACGAACCATGCAGTATGAGAAACTGCAATACTTACATGCTAGTATATCTTCTTCGCTGGAGTGCAGCAGTTCAGAAGGATCACATCGGTAGCTTTGAGCATGTAAGCAAATTTTACTTGGAATGAAGACAGTATTGAGTACAAATGGATTTTTCCAACACATTGAATTCATCTTTTTACTGTTAAAAAAGCTAAAATCTAAAAATACGAAAACGTCATCCCAAATAATAACAGACAAGAGTGTTTGGAACGAACTATGGCATAAGATAATATCAAAGTAGTATGGCCATCAAGTTAGAGCCCGAAAAAATCAGCATCTTACCAAATGAAGTACACACTCAGGCCCAATGAGGTTTATAGGACACGCTAGAGGGATAACTCTGTAGGGAGGCAGTGAAGCATACCGATTTCTGCATTGCACGGCACAAGAAGTGACTCTCAGTGTATGGCGTTCTGTTGCATCTCGCTATCAGAATGGTTATTTAGAATGTTGATTTGGGTGTAAGAATTGACAGACTGATAAGAAAAGGCAGGCTTTTAATAGAGTTGGAAGTAAGAAGAATGCCTCCAGTATTTCTACGGATATAAGTAATGATGGATCAATTTTACTTCACCAGTTTGTTTACAATTAGGCCTATCCTTACCATCAAGTTCTTCTATGTTTTCGCTTTTCAGTAAAAATGATAGATTTCTCCTTAAATTTGATTTCTTTGGTACTTGCTAGAATCCTTCTAGTTTCATGACCGATACCTTGCAAGGTGATCACTTGATACAGCTCGTCAAAAACATCTGCTTCAAATATTGACTGTTAATATTGAAGCCTTAAAGAAGAACAAACCAAGTATTCGTTGTCAGATCAATAAACTCGTTTTGTTTAAAAATGTTTAGAGACTGCGAAAAAGGCAATATAGATCCTCCATAAACGATCTGTACCATCACTGTTGATGTCCATAATCATGCTTTACCATTTTCCTTAAAATCCAATTATTCCCAAATAAAAACCCAAACATTCCATAGACATGAGCTGACCTGTTTGCAGAGACAGCACGTTTACCGGACCAGCTCGCCCCATATAATCAGGTCCTAATACGGCTTTGAAAAAAGCAATCATTTAGTAAACTAAATCTTTTCGTCTGACACTCTTCAGAGTTTGAAACGTCATAACATAGATCGAAACTCTACGCTAGGAAATATATATACCTAGTTGTGGATCGAAATAGGCCAATCAGAAAACATGAGCACATGACTGTTGAGGTTGACCAATCAGTGCCGCTTGCCTATTGAGAATGTTACCAATGGAGTCCTAAGGTGTAAACGAACTCCTTTTGTCTACACAGTAGCGGTTTTTTTCTTGCTTATGTAGATAGATTCCAAAACTGCTAGGTGGAACGACGATCGGGCTTTGCCAATAATCCGAAATATGTCACCATTATAGTTTTTTGCACATACTGGGTTTTCCAGTAAATTCTGCCCGATAGCAGAATCGCAGGTTTTAGTTGTAATTTTAGATTTGCAAGAACGAGGTGGCTGTTCTCTTTGGGGATGAGTTTTGTACCTAATACTAGACGGAACATGTTGATTTATTCTATCCTCTAACCTTTGGGTAGTGCGTCCTACGTAGCCAGAATCACACTGGCGCGTAAATTCGTAAACAACGGAACATTTTTGTGTGGTAGGAACGCAGTCCTTTTGAATGGACGGAAGGGCCTGCTTCTGATTGGCCTAGTTCGATCCACAACTGGGTATATACAGTATATTTCCTAGCGTAGAGTTTTCGATCTATGTTCTGACGTTTTAAACTCTGAAGAGTGTCACACGAAAAGCTTTAGTTTAGTAAATGTTTGCCTTTTTCAAAGCCATTTTAAAGTTTTGTACCACCAAAAGATTGTTTGCAGGTCCTAATACTACAAATCATTATCTTGTAACGTGTTAGGGTTTGTGAATTAGATGCGTTGCGTGATGTATCCATGATCAATCGTTATCTTGTTGTCTTGTATCTATTGTCTTACGTCAATGTGTAGTTTCAGTTAGTATGATTAATCGCTGTTGATCGGATGTTAGTATGATTAATCGGAAAAATCAACATTTTGTGGGACAGTGTCAATTTTGTGCCTATCACCCGACTTTTGAAAAAATTTTCCCAGATTTAAAAATATATGCAGTTATGTTGCATAGGGTAAAACAAGGAAGAAGTCGATCAGAACCAACGCTTTCCCCAGTGGATATTCAATTCAAGATTTGCTCCAAAGAATCCAATTTCCGGAAAATTTGAAGCAATAGATTTTCCGGCACACAGGCAGAGACCAAAAAGTGTATTTTAAATTTCTTTCCAGCCAAGGAAAAAGTTATATCCTTTCTGCCCTGACACTTACATTAAATGCTTCTATTTAAGTAAAAGGAATCAAAGACATTTTGTCGGAAAATTTTTCATTCTTGCCCCCTCTAGAATTTATTCGCCACGACGCCCCTGCCTGCGAATTTTACTGCAAAATTTTGCTCAGTTTGAGAACATCTTCTTTGCCTTTCTTATAAAGGGACGAGTGCAAAACAATTTGAAGAAACCTAATGCTTTTAAACTTAAGTGTCAATCATACCATGAACATCATGAAGCTAAATATTGTGAAGCTATTTTTCCATGTGAAGAGCGTTTGTGCTTCTGAAATCCACAAATTGTACAAGGATTCTCATACCTAAAATTCTACCCTCTTCAAGACAGATTGAGTAAATTTTTTACATAGTATTTTTTAAAAACGACAGCTGCATCTTCACCCACTTCCGATCGAACGTTCCAAAATTGCAAAGCTAAGCCTGCACGGGAATGTTTAGCAATCATTGGCGATTATGTCATGCAACGGCATATAGAAGAAAAATACGTCTCCCTCATCTCAAAGAGTCCCTGAAAACGTTCCAATAACAGCAAAAGAGACAACACATTTTTTCCATTTCTGATCTACTACAGAACGGTTTCAGTTTTTATCTTCATTTTCATAAAAAATCTGTTGGGACTTCACTTCACAACTATGTTACTTGATCAGCATAGTTAAATTACTTGCACATTCTCAAAAGTCGTTTTTTGGCTCATGCATTTGCACAAGCAATATACTTGGAAAGCAAGAAGCCAATAGACTCTTGACGTGCATTGCAGAACAGTGACGAGCCAAAGAACAATCATTTTTCACAATTACAATGCACCGAGAGACGATGCAATTTTGAGCATATGTAACAACGGATCTGTGTTCAATAAGTTAGCGTAAAAACGCTGGGTCAACCAGACCATGACACTAATATGTTTTTGTAGTTGCAAGCTGTTCTGTGAACAAGGAAGCTGCTCCATTATAGCCAGGTCAATTTGAATAAATAAAAATCAAAATTGAGCAATCAGATCTATTACATGATTTTGAAAATATCCTTTTTGCCCTTTTCTTTAATTTGCGACTTATTGTATTCAACAGTACGAGCCATGTATGAGCACTGTTTGACGCGAAATGACGCCGAAATGAAAAACAAGATACGAACTTGGTAAATACAGTCAATAGAAAGCAAGGAAACTTTGAATTCGTGAATAATTTGGCACCTGCAAATGCCAATGCATTAAGTCTCAAAGATTTGACCGCATGCTTTATTTAGATACCTTCTCTGTTGTCAGCCCATTGTTTAAGGTAACCCAAAACTCGATCTCGCACAATTGGAATGCTTTGTCAAAACCCTGACATAAACATGAGAAATTAGGCTGACATCCCATGTTGCTCAATGAGATGAAAACAAGTCATCCACATAGAAGTATAAAGATGACGGTATGCTCAGCAAAAGTCAGCAGTAAGTTCACGTTATCCTTTCTTCCGGTTTGCAGTTATACTCGGTGTGATTTCGTAATCAACACATACACGTGGGAATGTCAAAGTTTCGCGAGAAACGGTCAAGGCGCTCGTTTTCCACCATCTATTTACCCGCTTTTCTTGAAAGTTAATGACAAGTTCTGGCATATCTGGCATAAATTTTTTGTTTCAACTATTACACGGTGATACCATTTTTTATTATTATATCATTTTTTGCTATATAGTTTAACGTAATATTACATTTATTAAATGTTATAATGAGCAATAGCCATACATTATTACAGTTCTTTCTCAAATTATTTCAATACAAGGTTCATTTAAATTATTTGCAGTCACCTTCTCCATTCCTTCCATCTTCTTTCTTTCAAAAAAGCAGTGACAGACAAAAAAATAATTGTTTGTATTTTTACATTATTTACACTTACGGTTTTTTTTACAAAAATCACTAATCCTTGTCACTTTTATTGACATTATTCTTTAAGAGTTTACGGGTTCTAATTTTATAATTTTATAAATTAAGGATGAAAAAATATTTAAATAACTGGCAAAATCTAAAATAGGTAAGAGATTATACATCGATATGAATCATAATAAAATTTTGCTAGTGAAAATGCACGAAATAAATGGATTTAACTCTTTGAAAGTCATTGTTGACTGCCTTCTACCTACAAAAAACACTTTTAAAAATTTGATACAGGACAAAAATTATCACCACCATGGGCCGATGAGATATATCGAGCAAATTTATAGCCGAAAAAAGACCCAGAACGCTTAAAGAACCTGACAACTGCATAGCAGCCAGAAGGAAATGCTTCTCTCATGCTTTTCAAGAAGAAAGTGTTTTGTTGCTTTTTCATGTGAGGCCTTATAAGATAATAAAATTAATAAACATTGCAATATCAAAATCTGAGAAAATTTTATTCCATTTTTTCAGTAATTAAGCTCCTTTGTTAATACATGATGTAGGAAGAGATCAAATCAACTACATAAAATCCTTTATAATACTTTTAAGTTGACATAATCTGTAAGTGGTCGGAGCCTGGGAGAGTTATCAGCTTATTAAGAGAGCAGTCAATCATTGCTGTATGCTCACTACCAGGAGTAGTTATGAAAGATTTCCATACGAGAATCAATCGTGAACTATACAAATAACTCTTTAAGATAAATATACTATAATAAAATCTTTGTTGAAGCATTTTTGAGGCATTGACGAATGCTTCAAAGTAATTTGAATAAGACATAAGAATTTGAATAAGGTAAAAGAATAAGACAAAGTAATTTGAATTAATCAGGCTTTATTTGAAAAATTAAAGAGCATTGGCTACAATGCGTTTATAATGTATGGACGATAGAAATTTGATCTGCCTATTTAAGCTACAATGCCACACAGATTTGTTGGAGATTTTGGAAAAAAAATTACGTCCCTTCCCCCTCCCCAAACTTCAATTCTGTGGCTGTTTTAATTGCTCTTAGATGCTTTAATTACGATACTGACATTGATTATTTTCTTGCATTTTCAAAAATTAAAGTTTCAAAGTTGTAGATTTCGATAACTAGGAATGATCGAAAAGCTCAACGCATTGCTGAAGGCGATTGTGACCTGAAAGTGACCTAATTCCGATCTTTTCTTATCTTGTTTATTTAGACAAGTTTCAGATTTAAACGTATCCTCGCCCCTACAAATCAATTATTTAATTCACAGTGGATACTTTTCTGCTTTTGCAAAGAAAAACTAAGCTTAAATTTTTCTTTGACCGCTTAAATTCCCTTCATGCATATAACTTTAAGTTAGATTTTTCCATCTCACTTGGGCCAGTAAGCTTCTTTCTCATCATTAAATTTAAAAAAGCCATCGGTGATTTCAAAAATGTATAGTTTACAAGAATCATGAGTATTTTTCAAAGGAAAAAGAGCGAAATTGCGGGATACTTTTGCTGAACGTAGCAATGCACAATACATGACAGACTGTCGGAGTACTTCATCTAACAATGTAGTGCATTGATTTTGTCTTGAAACACTTTTTCCTATTGATTACCTTTTTAGTCTTCTTTTATCTGTCTAATAATCGACGGTGTAAATACTGAAATATTATTGGGTAGCAAGAGTTGATAAATCAAGCTCTTTAACCCGTAAATGCCAATTTTTTTGCAAAAAAGGCTATTTTCACAAATTTACTGACAAGCTGGCAAGCATACAAAATTTCAGCTTCTAAAACAGGTTGTTTTGCAGTTGGATAGTCTGGTGCAGTATTGATTCGGTTGGGTAATGCACTAAATAACCTAGTTTCTCAATGCAGATATAAATCTCTTTGTAGAAATATAAAATGCTATCAATTGTCCCTTTAAGAAAAGTTTATAAAATCTCATGATGAAATTATCGAGAAGGTCATTTGATGAGGGTCGCACGAGCAGTTATGTCTTCAGCTTTGCATAATCCTTGTTATTGCCCTAATGGCTAGAAGTTAAGTCATGGCCCCATGATTTAAAAACGCTGGGATAAAAAATAGAGCGATACAGGACAGTTAGATCGAATCTGTATTCATCAAGTTAAGACTGCTATCAGAATTGGAGATCATCTGTGTAGCAGCTGACTACACAAAGAGACTTGCTTTTACATGTTTTTCTCGTTGTCATGAAATAAGAGCAAAGTCGATGGGCAATTTCAGCAATTTTACTGCAACAGCTGTATTTTGCAAGACAAATATCAAGTTATACTATAGTAAAAACTGTTTGCACATTTGGAGCTGTTGTTTTGGGTTAGGACTTCTCACTGTGAGAGTCAGTTATTGTCTGTTTTGACAAGTTGTTACGGAGATGTAGAAATGCATTCACAAAAGTCTTCTTGAATGAACGTCTAACAATATTGCTACCCTGAATGCCTTATTCACAAGTCACTGAAATCGTTTATCTGCTGACACAGTACGTGTTAATAACAAGCAAATTAATGATCTTTTGATTATAAATTATATCGGGTAATTATTAAATATAAACAATTAAGAAGGTCACGCTGAAGCAACATCGTGCTAGACAAGCAAACTATTTTTGAGCTTTGAAGAATTGCGACTTTTGCAACCTCAAAATATGAACGAGCTTTGAGTCCCCAACTGGATGTAAACTCAAATCGTGGGCAGGTGAATCAGTGTAGTCAACGTTCTTTGAAGGCAGTAAATCCACGGTCGATAAGCACCACCCGGGCTTAGATTTACTTTTCTTTAACCAATCTTTACTTGCAATTTGCGATCTCAATAGATCAAATATTTTGAAAGTCAATATTGATTGATGCCACTAGCATCTTGTTTCATAATATCACTCGAATATAACGAACATGCAAGGAGATACAGACAAATCTCCAATGGTATTTGTCCTGTTCTGAAGGTATGACTTTGGTGATACTGAAAATTCTGGTTATCATACTTACTATGATTTAAATATGATAATTATGAGGTTATGAGGATGTTGGTGATACCGAATAATAGATGGCAACAAAAAAGTTAAATGATTTGACAAAACCATTATACCTGTCGTTTTCTCAACTAATTGCAGACTTTTGTATCATTCTTGGCTAGATGATTTTTAAATGAAAATATTCGTTCCATGTGGTACCTTACATCTAAAAATGTTACGTAATATATAGCCCGTTTTGATATATGTTGACCCTTTACTTCTTCACAGAAAAAGGTCTGTGTTCTTGTTATCAATTTTTCAACAAACTTGCTAAGTCTGATGGTCAGGTCACTCGCAGATTTAAATTTTAACTGTTTTGAAGGCGTAACTTGTAACTGCGGATCATATTTGAAAATGCTTGCTTGTCAATAGAAATATTCTGGGCCCCAAATGACAGTTATCGCAAAGGAAGACATGTCCGTTTCAAATTCATCAAGCAATTATCCTTAGATACGTTTTAATTGATATACCTCTTCGATTTTCAGGTTAAATTCATTTTGGATACACACAGATAAATTGGTAGGTATCAATGCCTTCTTGAAGCGTTATTATTCATTCAATTGAAGAGAAATACCTTCTATAATAATAAGCTTAATTCTCTCAAATGCGACTGCATCTTTGGCAATATTATGACATCACAATCTCTTGTACCAAACGTGAATATCTGCAGATTTCGTAGGGAGCACTTTAATTAAAAAGGTTGCTTTATCACTTGGCGAGAATCACGATTCATTCAACGGAAATTTGCATAATTAATTATTAATTCAGATCTCACCATGTCAAGCAAATATATTTTTCAGCTACATCATTTGTGAGCCAGTAGCTTGAGTGATGCGTTCCAGTGATCGATATCAGCGCAGAATCAGACAAGGGGGCGCAGCTAGCATTTTTTGATAAACTGTAAGTAAGTTCGTCATTTTTTAAATTCTGCATGGCCTAAGAGCAAGAATTACTCGAATAAACGTTGTCTGTTTACATAGAATGAAAACCAGTTTGGTTCTCTAAAAGCTCTGAATATCCTTGATAATCTTTAAGTTCTATAGCCAAGTGAATTTTTTAAACTAGAAACATCAATATGAAAAAGAGAAGTTATTTTTTGACATTTTCATGGGTTGTTGGTGAGGCTACAGAAATAGTAGGACATGCATTCGTAGTCTGAAAAAATTTATTAGTAAACAAAAATGAATTAGCTAATTTATTTTGACTGCATAAATATTTCATACTGGCTTTCGATAACAAAGCAATCGAAAAAGCTAGGCAATGTTATTTTAATCATTTTTTTCATACCTGATACAACATGAACTGTAGAGCAATCTTTTATCTGATCTGAACCTTTCAGCTGTCACTTATCTTTCTTATCATCTATGGGGATGGCAGTATTCTTCGCTCCATCTAAGAATTGTACCTTCAAGATAATTGATTTCTTTTGCCTATAGATATTCAGTAAACTAAAAAATTAAGGCATTGGCGTGAGAAAGGTTTAATAAGTTAGTATTTCCTGTGATCAAAATCCAGGAATTGCGCGCAAACTGCGAGTATACTGCGATCAAATACAGAAGCACAGGGCGGGGACAGGGATCTGTTTTAGCAGCACAAGGCGGGAACAGGGATCTGTTTTAGTGCACATGATAAATGATATCTACTTACCAAATGGGGCATTTCATACGAAATTTCTTATTCAAATGTTTCAAAAAAGCAAATACCCAATTGTTACAGCTATCAATAAAGAGAATCTACAAAGAAATATGTTAAATTCAGCAGCAGAAATAACATTATAGATTAATGCAAGTTACAGGAACTAGTAGAGTGTGCAAATTCTCATAAACTGAGTTTGTAAAACTTTGATACAGTTATTTCCAACTTGTTACAGATGTAGACACAAAACAGCCAAGAATTGGGTAGCTAAAGCACAACGAACGCTTTACACTATCAGATGTCAAAACAATTATCAAAGTTGACCATAGGCGTAGGTGACATAAGAATGCAGAGGGCTCCAGCCCCCCCCCCCCTTAAGCAGGTAAAGCTTATGGCTTCATTCGGGCAGTTCCTTCGCAATGAGACAATGGGTTTCGGGCAAGATTCATACTTAGCCTCTCCAAACGTTTTGCATAAGCTACGCCCTTGTAGTGGACTCCTAAAACTAAGCTTGAATTCAAAACTGGGCTGCACGAAATTTTCGATCTAATTTAAACTGATGTATGGCAAATTTTTTCATGTTTAAAAGGGACCCGCGTGGCGTATGATAGAATATCCTCTTCATCATAAGCCTCGTATTCACAACGATCTAGAGCAATTGCCTCCTTGCTGCTACTTCAGTGGTCATGAGCAGAAGACCTGGCTGTATGTCGATATTTCAAAACAGTCTGGGTTTAAGGAAACCCACAATGCATAAAACTTGAAGCTGCCTCTTCAACCCATCAGCCCAAATGAACATAAAATGTCCTTCTGACAAAAAAACTGATGTTTCAAATACTGTGATTGTTTTCCAGTTTGCTCAGGTAAAAAGCTGCGTTATACAGAGTGACGCAGCCGAATCAGATTATTAAAGACTGCAATGTTCTATTATGATTAATATCAAAACTGCCTCAGGCAGAAAGGTTCGTATTACCGGCAGTCAACAGCAGATGCATCAAACTAAGAAGCTCGAAACAAGCGCGTAAAATATGCGCCAAAATTGCGCCAAAATAAGAATTTGAACAAAACACTTTCCCTTCCTTCTATGAAACTGAGCGAACAAACCGAGAGTAGGAACTGTAATTTGTTTTCATGGAGGATCTCAATACAATACTGTAATCACCAAATCCAGGCGCATTCGTCAAGCAGATAACGCTAGAGCTGGGGCAGCTGCAAAATATTATATAATCGCTGGCACTAATACATTATATGGACAACCTTTAGAGTGCGGTAACATTTCCTTCGGTGTTGTCCAAATCTTTTGCTTAAATCTTGATGTATAACCTTCTTAAATCTCATTACTAAAATCAAAATATGTGACTTATCATTTTGAAAATATTACGGCGTTTTATCAAAATTTAGCTAAAGTGGGCACTAAGTTTAAATATAAAACTGGTCTTTAGTCACTCTTTTAGTGTACTTGGGTAGCATGCTTTTGGTGTGGTCGAAAATAGATGAGAAAGGATGAACACGCAGATTGCAGTGTTCTGAAATCTGACATGTTCACATGAAACTAGCTCTTTAGGCGTGGATTTCGACTTATCACAGAGTTTCACCTGTTTCAAGTTGGAGAAATTACAACCACTTTCCCATGATGAATTTGCCAACTGGTATAGCCTGATTTAAAATACGTAACTCAAAAACGCAAACTGACGATTTAAAAGACCAGGGGCTCTATGCCAGGATAATCAACTGCTGTTGATTGATTTAAGCTCCTCAAAATGTAGGACACTTCCTTTAATTAACTGAATCGTGTAAATAGTTTTGATCTTTCTAGCAAAAAATATGCTTTCTGCAGACTCCTGCAAAATATGCTGTTTTTCTCTTCATTGAGACTGAAGACTGAATTATGGTTAAATTTTGTTCTCTTTAAGCGCGCATTAAAGTCATCTGGTTTTTTGCTCTGGTTTATCTATACTTTGTCTGCACCAAGCGTCGAAATGTTGGACGTGTCAGTTTTTAGTAAGTGTCCGTTATTAGGGAATGTCAGTGCATTAAATTGTCACTCGAACCCATAACATAACTGTGACTGGTCTAAACATTGTCGCACTGGTTTTTGGCTTACTTCATGATAAAGCTCATGGAATCAACTTCTTGATCAAATATACCTTTTATAAATTGTCGGTATTCTTACTCGAAATTTGAACCCACGGGGATTATGGGGGGGGGGAGGGAAAAGAGGGGAGGGAAAAAAGGGGAGGGAGCGAGCCCTTATGGTTGGTGCCTTCACTTATGCAATGAACAGACGAAATCTCGTTACGGACACCCTGTTTGACTTTATGTAACCATTCAGCTCCACAATGTACTAAAAACCCAAATATTTCACGTTTTCTCACAGTTATGGCATGGAAAATAAAGTAGAATGATGAGTTTGATCGCTGAGAATGCAAATTCTGTTACAGCATGTAGAATATTCACGTCCACAGTCTAACGTACTGGCTAATTTGTGCGGAAAACTTAAGATATTCGGCAAACTTCACAGTCCTCATTCTAATTGCTCAAGGCCAAACAAAAATTACGAGCAACCCTTCCAACCTCAAATGGCAGTCTTCTTAATAGTTCCGTGCATGATTACATCAGCATATGTATCTTCCTATCAGCAAAAACGTATAAATTATCTGATTATCTGCCAATCAGGAGATCTTGTTGTCAGGCGATTACCTGCTATGCATTAAGGCAAAATAACACAGCAAATATAGAGAAAAATCTCTGTTGTCCAAAACAAGGCTACCATTAACAAAAGTAGGCATTTACGAGGCGAATGAGTCGTAATTATTGTATAACTGTCTTGTTTTAGTGTGTTCTAGCTTCTTTTCTTTTGCCAGTTTACTCAAACTTACTTGTTTTGTCTTTGCTTTTGCCTTTGCCAAAGAAAAAGAGACTGTGTGGAAATAGAAGTGTCCTTATCTGCTCTCTAGTTCTCATACTTTCTCGTGCTTGCATCTATCTAATCATCCCAAGACATGAAGCACTACACCTAGAATATCAATAGGTTCTCTTCTTTTTCACAGAAAGCACAATAAGGTTTTTACCGGCTTGCCAGTACGCCTAGGACCATAATTCTTAAAGGTGAGATTGAATTGCATTGGAAAAATGTCATGGAAAAATGCGACTCATAATACCTTGTAAAGATTTTAAATCTTCATTTTACCGGTTGGCTTTTAAATTGAGCACAGAAAAAAATAAACAAAGATATCCGTTTATAGCTTTAGGCAATTGCGGAAAATGGCGGAAAAAATCTAAATTCTTTTTTATCAAAGATAACAAAAAACTAAAAAAATTGGAAATAAAGAGACAGTGGCAGTCTTGGGAGTTCGGGGGGCCATTGCGCAAGGCCAAGCGGTCCCTTAAACCGCTGCTGGCTGCAAAGAAAATGATTCTTAGTAAAAAATAGACACTTTCAACAATCTGCTACAATGCTATGCTCAGGGAAAAGGCAGTCTAGTCTCTCTCATTCTAAATCTGTAAATCTTAATGCTAGCCCATTTTTAAAAGTGAATTAAAATTTTACTCCAAGAACTATCAGTTTCTTCTCTTTCTGAGTCTTCAGATCTCAGTTTATGGAGTCAAACGCATTCTTCCTGAAAGACCCCCTTGTTTGCGGTCTATTTTTTTCATCAATAAAACTTAGGAGAAATCCTGTTTTATGGCAAATACTGGGGGTAGCTAAGACATTAAAGGATCTTTTCTAAATAACAGTGAACCATTGCACAAATATTCTTCTAAAGCAAAAAAACAACAGCGAATTTGAGACTGAAGTTTTTCTTCAGAAATATTCCGACATAGGGTGCTTGTACACATCTTAATTCTGTTTACCTATATTTCTAAATAAAGTAGACATTGGCATAGCCCAAATTGAGCATTAAGTTGTTTTTATAAACTCTAGTGACATCTGGTATACTGAAACCCTACCCAGATTTAATAACGGGAGCTCCGTTAGCATTACGCAAAAGCGATATTGTATTTGAAGGGGAGCTGTATTAATGATATACAACAGTACAAACACCTGCAAAACAAGCTGGTGAAAAGAGTTTAATTTACAAGTGTTTTCAGTGAACAATTTATAGTGAAGGTTAAAATAGGTCAACTGGTGGCATTTTGTGAAAACGAATGTACACTACTGCTTAGCTGGCAGACGACAGTGTGATAGTATTCGGCACCCTTTCAGGGTAAATATAGGCAATTAATGGACAAAACCATTAACTGATATGCCTTACATGGGATTAATTGATAAACAATGCCTATTTCGTTCGATGCTTGATACGGCACTGCGAGTTTTTCCTTTCTATGTCAAAATAATAAATATTTAAGAAGTTGGTGATTTTGAAGTGAATGCCTTAGCAAGCCACTGATTTGTTATCTCTTTATTGCAAAGCGATATAGATATGATAAAAACATTATATTTAAGGCTACCATTCACTTGCCTTTAATTTACACGACAGAGTGCGAGTTTAGCACGCAAGTCAGATTCAACTTCGATATGTATCTTATCCCACATTTAGTTGCGGCAAAAATTAATAATAAAACAGAAGAAAATAAAAGCCGAATTATGATTCTCGATTCGCAACCTGTTCAGGTAATTATATTGATGCAGTAGAAAAAGTCAATCACTTTCCTTCATTTGATATTACGAACAGTGAAGAAATAAAAAAAATAAATTAAAGGTAGATTTTCAATTTCTGTGGCAGGTCTTGTAGCAAGCACCTTGCTTGTTACATTGAGGTGTACGTCGGGCTTTGACCTAAAAAAATCACTCAATGAAAAAAGATTTGCATGCAACTGATTTACCCTATCATTTGAATCTCTTAGGCGGCAAGGTCACTTCAAAACTCCTATACGATGGCCATACCATCGATTTTTGCGGGCTGTAGCTTTTGGTATTTAATCATGCGGATTGTCGTACGACTGCAGCGGGCAAAGACGTCATATAAACAGCGAAAGTTGCCCTAGGATAGTGCTGCTGGGAGGACAGGTGTGATGGGGGGAAACAAGATGAGATTTCTACGATATTTTTCACCTGTAGTTCCCAAACTACATGCCAAAAAACTGTATCCATATCGAAATGCTAGCTAATGTTCAAAATCAAATTTTTGTTGTAAGATGCTTCTCTACTCTTAACACTTTGCTATGTATCAATTCTAGCGAAGCTTATGTTGAGAGATGTCGGTCAACTTTCTTTTTCTGATCAATGTTCTAACCATGCGCCTGTCTGACTCAAGAATTGTTAAATCGAACGTTAAGATAGATTACCTACACGGGTTTTCGAACCTTATAAAGAAGGATGAGTAGGCCTTTTTAAATATTTGAATTCTCATCGTTGAGGTATAATTGAGCCTTGGCATGTCGAGCCTCCAAACAAAGCAGAAGTTTATTCGACTTATCCGAAGTTCAGTTTCTCCGAAGCTATTTCTGTACATAAAGCATAACAAAACCAAAGGATAAAGAAAAAAGTAACGAGATATCGACTGAAGCCGTGGATAGTGACAATAAACCAGAATGTCTGCATATTTGAAACCTCAGCAGCTCTTTTCGAAACAAAAATATATAGTATCTGGCACTGGGTAGGAGTGTGCACCGTTGGCAAATCTTTGCTATTCGAAAGATGTAGTGATATAGAAAGGAAAGGCCTGGACAGTCGTGTATAAGCATATGTGCTACGTTTTCTAAAATATACATTATGATAAGCAATATTACAGTGGCATCAATTAAACTTCCAGATAATGAAACTATTCATCGAAACCATCAAACATGAAAGAAATACGTCCTGACAAATTCAGAACATCTGCCAAACTGTTTGAAATGAAAATTATTCACATCATAGATACGGAAATTTCATAGATGTTACGACATATACCTTGGAACATCTGCTTGATGAAATGTTAATTCACTGACCAGACACAAATGGTGCTATGCAGTACAGCATACATTTATTAAAACAATGATATACAACAAAGGAGCTTAGTGTCAAAACTTCAAATATACGGTTGATGTCTGAGATTCTTCTCCCATTAGCTCCCCACGTAGGAAAAAAGGATTGATAAATAGTTAGTCCATTATGTAATTCAAAAGACAGAATTCCGTCATCTGTGTTGGTCTTGACAAGAGGTTCAATCCACAAAGATTAGAATTTTCATCATGCTTAAATCTTTTTACGAAGCATATAAGCAATTTTCTTTGATTTTTCGTATCCTGCCTAAAAGGTGCATAGAATAGTCATTTAAGAAATATTCTACAAAAGAGCGTGGTGTTGGTTTTCACTAAATTCAATTGATCATTTGTGCCAATGTTCCGACAAACATTTCAGCTTCATAAAGTAATTTATCAAGCAGGCCTCTAGTGAATATTGGGACAGTAATGTTAGGTGTATAAAAACACTCACTCATTTAGGGTTTTTTTACCATCACCTCTCGTGTCTACCCCGAAGGCTTTATTTTACCTAAAATACTGGATCATCGCTTTTTTCGATTAATCTAAAATTATTTTCACGTTAAATCTCAAATTATGTCCCAACACATATTCAGTTCCCTTGAGTTGAGAAAATGTCACCTTAACATGCTTTTGTCAAATGAATTCTTGCTGTAATCCGTCCTTCCAATCCAACTTAATTCTAACTATAACATTAATTTGGAAAATAAATCGATGAATCGTGTTCGCCTAGTAAACTTAAGCTGCTTTCAGCACCGTAAACGCTTCTTTGCATATTTTGATAGAGCATAAAAGGGATTGTATCTACTCTGACCCTGCTCTTGTACAGCAGCTGTAAATCTGCGCATGCATAACTGTTGTCAGAGCCTTTTGTTTGAACAGGCCTAGCAACGAATAGCCAAAATCAGCGGATGGTTAAGATGCTTAGCTCTATACCGTCTAATTTGAAAAAACAAAAAATGACAAAAAAATTGAAGAACCAACCTTTGAATTGAAGCTGAGGACAAGAATCAACATAAAAATGAATGGCTTGCATCATCGTGTGATGACTCGCTCTTTGGTAGTAGAAAGTAGAACCAAGAATACAATAGGAACTTTCCGGGAGAACATTTCCTGGCACTGCAACAAAAGAGCAAAATGTACATTAGGCTCTATCCGATGAAATAGCCGTATAAATAATACCAAAATCGTTTGATTTGAGAAAAATGTTTGCAATGCAAAATAAAAGATATTGTTTTGCAAAAAGAGACTTTTGGAAAGGAATGACCTTAGAATTTTTTTATTTAAACTTTTTAGATTGAACGAAACATAAGTCATGAAAAGATGTTTTTAAACATCGTTTAGAAGAGCAGACGCTCGTTTTTTCAAGCAGGATAATCCTTATTCCCGCGTCTTGGGAATTGTTCTTAACGGAGACTTAGTGCATATGGTGAGTTTTGCCATTACCGATTGCTCACAGAAGAGATTCAACATTTGCAATTCGCTGTGTTTGGGACTCGAAGTGAAGATCTTTGAAATGAAAGTTTATAGAGTTATGGCAGGTAAAGAATCGTAATCTCATAGATGCTAGCTTTAGACGGTCTAGAAACAGGTAGAAATAAAAATATTATACTGCGTCAGAGACGAGGAAATGAAACCCTCAAAGAATGATTCTGTCAACAATTTTAAATATTCAAGCTGAACATAACTTAGAATTATTTTGGGTCGTTTGCAAAAGCGGCTAACATTTTTGATTACGTATCAGTGTTTGCAGGTCGTTCGGCTTCTTCATTTGTCACGTTTGGACCATGTTTGCAATAAACGGTCCAAACAATATTGATTTGTAGCTTCTCGATAATTTAAATACAAAGTTAACAAGGATCAGGAAATTTTACACTCAACTATTAGAGTTTTCACGCTGGATTAGAGCGGTTACCTTGCAACTTTTAGTAAAAATCTTGATGCAATCTCACACCATGTTATGCATTGAGCGTCGTATTTTTAATGCGTTCCAGCTGGCAAATCCGCAAATGTGTCGCCATTATGCCAAACTTCACAATACTAAGGGGTCTTTTTTTGAAAGTTTCTTTCATTTTTCAAACACGGTATTGTCCTTTATGGTAGAACTTATAAGAAACTTCTGTAGCCTTTTTTACAGGAAATTAATAAACTATTCAATCAAACAGGAGGCATGCCTTAACCATTTAGTTCTTAATTTAATTTTCAAATAGCTCTTTGGCAAAAGAGAAAAGAGGGTCGACTTCAGAAAATGCTCATATTTTAACGAAAGAAAGCGCTAGAATTATCGCACATGAAAGGCGATAGGCCTTCTTTAGAGATTTGCAAACAAACAACTAAAGTTCTGAAGCATAGTTTCTCATTAAACAATGGGATGCCAATGAATTAAAAAAAGGAAGAAACTGAAACCAATTTCAAGATAGGAAATCACAAATACCAAGACCGTTATGCCTGTATTCCCAAAGACCTTTATTCAATTTTTGCCATCATTTGACACCTGTTATCTAAAGATCTATGACGCAACATTTCCAAGCCTATCTCTTCATCAAAGACCTCAACTAGGTGAATAATAATTCCTCAGCTTGCTTACTTTCAGTTCTACAAGAAAAATACTTCAGTTACTGATGTGTTTCTTGCAATCAAATCGAGCAATCAGATGACTTTCCTCTTACTGCAAGATCAGTTTACCAGTATACAAATTTACTTGCTTCGTTAAACAACATCGTTGAAGATAATAACAAGCTTTAACGTGTCTCCACATGAACAGCTTTTATACTTAGTTTCTTGTAAAGTGCTTCATAGATATTAGCATACTTGGTGATTTGCACAAGATCTATGGAATCATCAATGGAGTGGTTTTCATTCTTTCAATGAAATATCTGTATGTGAAAGTTATACAAGGAAAAAACATTGTACCAGGTATAATTTCTTGCTTCACAAGGAGGACAGGAGGTAGACTTCCTTGGGTTTGGGGCTTGGCAAATCTTAAAAAAATAAGTTTGCCTTTAATGATGTAAATTTGCATTTTGCCTTCCTTCTTGTAATCAAATGTCAAATTGCAGTAAAAATAGGACATTTTTACCTCGGGCCCCAGCGCATAAAATCTTTCTGAGGACCAACAAGAGGAAACATCAACATTTTCAAAAATCTTGATATTGAATCTCAAATAGATAACATTTATCAGTGTAAGAAGGGATAATCTTTTATCAGTCTCAGCGTAACTGTAATTTTTTAAATATATTCAATTTGAAATTTTTTCAAATTTAGAAGAAGGGGTGGACAGTTTTTTCAAGCAGGAGGCCGCTAATGATTCACACTTATCAAGAAAGGAATGCCCAAGAAAGGAATTCACACCTATCAAGTTATTGCTGAAAAAATTCAGAAAGAGAACTGAACATAAAATTACTGTAAAATAATACAATCTTCAAATCTGAACCCTCAAAACATATTTAGAGTAAAGCTAGAAATCAAGAGGTGTAGTCAGAAGATTATTAAAAGGATATGTCACGGTATACAGCTACTGTGTAGACAAATAGAGTCCGTTTTCACCTTAGGACTCCATTGGTAACATTCTCAATAGGCAAGCGCCACTGATTGGTCAACCTCAACAGTCATGTGCTCGTGTTTCTGATTGGCCTATTTCGATCCACAACTGGGTATATATATTTCCTAGCGTAGAGTTTTCGGTCAATGTTCTGACGTTTTAAATTCTGAAGAGTGTCAGACGAAAAGCTTTGGTTTACTAAATGTTTGCTTTTTTCAAACCATTCACGGTATACGTAATTCAATGCTCGAGCAATATGTTATTTTTGAATAAACTATCGTCAGTTGCTATGATATAAAATCCCTATATGTTTTGAGTTTTCAAAATAAACTAAAATCTAATATCCCAATATGAAGGCAGTTTCTGTTAAACTCTCTTTAATCAAGGACTTTCCGACATTTTGGCTTCAAAGATCTCGATATCAATGATTGTGTTTGCTGGAAATTTTTCCGTCTATCTGCAGGAGGTTTCTTCGTGATGCCTTAGATTTCTAATGCCCTTGGAAATAGCAGCAATTTTTGTTGTATGTGTTATTGCTCGGTTTCTTTCTTAACAGTAAAGAAGGTATTGTCTAAATGCGGTATTAAAATATAGCAAGCAACTGCAGTCCGGTTGACTGTATTGAAATAACTTGCGCATTTTTAAATTGCTGTCCTAGCTTATTGCTGACATTCCTAGGAATCAGACAATCTTTAACAATAGTTAACAACAGTTTTGATATTTTGAAGGAAATTGTAAGCTTCGCTGATGCAAAACCTTTCCGACGGCTTTTTGCTTCAACAAACACGTTGAAAAAATAATACAACTTGGCTTTTTAGATTACAACGCAAAGCTAAACGTAATCCCTTAAATACCATTTGTTAAGTTTGCCCTCAGATCATCAACAAAATCAACTGTATTTTTCATAATTTTTTTTATTTCGAGCAATGACTCAGTATTTTATTAATTTTCACCGGAGTTACTTATCCCTTAAGCTAATTAATTTCAGACAATAAAGAATCAACCTATAGCTAAAAATATTGTAAACACAAGGTGAAACTTTTATTGAGGATTACCAAGTGCTTGCTTGTAAAATCTAGATTTAGAATTTTTTCTTAAAACTTTTTCTGCTCAAGACACTGCGGTGTCACTTTTGACATGGAATTATTGATCATCTTCAATCAAGTTGCTATAATTAAATTGATGAGAACTCCCTTTGACACAGTATTTCAGGATTTAGACAGAGACGATTTAATAGTTATACTTAAGCTTTTGTCGGCTCTAAATAGAGTTCTTACCATCTTTTCTAGGTGAAAAACAACGCCTAAAGTACTAGGGCAAAGTCGTACCGTCTAAATAAGAAATTACAAAACTAACTTGACGGCCTAAAAGGAAGAAGCTTCCTTCTATAACTTGCATAAGAAAACGTAAGCTTTGTAGAAATATACATGTATAAATTCCAGATAAAATCTCTTTAGAATTTGAAATAACAATAAAGATGGTAAGGAGAATCAATCAGAGAGAACCAGCATTCACAATGGTGCATTTAAATAAGTACCAATACCTATAAAACACCTTATTTATTCAAATTTGAAGACTTTGGCAACCATACAACAACCTACTTTGACACCTTTATACTTTCTTCAGTCACAATAATTCCAGAAATTGTTGAGGTTTTAACGAGGTTTTAACAGGGTTCTGCTGTTTTGACATTATCGTTTTCTATTTCAGATTACATAGACTTGAAAATCTTCGCAGCGAACCGTAGGTGGGTGTTTATAAAAACTATTTATTTCCTTGAATTTATATCATTGTCTATAAGTGGAGAGGCTTGACCAGAAGGTCTTTGTGATATTCTACCTGGTTTAAATCCGAGGATTACGGTTTTACTTATCGGATCGCCATCTACAGTTAAGAAATCACCTCATCTTGGCTATGTGTAAAAACGAGACCAACTGCATAGATTTTAATGCATTAAACAGTTTAAAAAAGTGAGAATGCAGAGATTATCTTTCATGAATTATTCAAGAGCGCCTATATATAGTCCTACCCATAAATCTTATACATCTGTCGGTTGTTCAAGAAAGCTCAATGCTGGGGAGCAACGTTCGTCAGACTATTTTTCCATGCAAGCTCTTCGTTTTGATTACAAACGCAACATTCGGTCCGTTGATATTTCACATACGACAGGAATCGATGACCTGGTGATAGATTTTTCATAAAGCGCACTTGAAACCACCTGCACCTTGAAAAAGTGTTGCAAGTACAAGAATCAGCAGGTAACATATAAATGTGTATCAGAGGTCTTCAACGAGACAAATATAATTTCCTTGATAATTCTCTGGCTTTTTCAAACTTATAGGGCATATTGTTATTGGATGAGAGAATAGCTGCCTGTGATTTTGAATACTAAAGACGACAATACTCCATTGCTAGAACGAGATTCCATATACATGCAGCATCATGAACAACACTCAACGACGCGACATGTGCCAAGCAAAGACAGTTGGTGCTCAGGTTGGCTATGTCATTTTCCTCTCCTTCGTTTTAGTGCTAACCCTTTGCGGGAACAGTTTCGTATGCTTGACTATAGCATTATGTCGCCAGTTGAGAAGACATATAACAAACTATTTCATATTCTTTTTGGCTATAAGTGACATTGCTGTTGGCGTGGTGGTTATCCCTTTCCGTATATTTATCGCCTCTTACAATGGATTCTTTTGCGCACAGAAAGGATTTTGTGTTCTATACTTAATTCTGGATACAACTACTGGCGTTGCTTCTGTTACTAACTTGCTCATCATAGCCCTCGATCGGCGGTTCATGATAACAATGCCCTACCAATATCCATTGGTGATGAACCGAAAACGAGCAATTGTCATTTCGTTATGTGTCTGGATTTACGCCCATTTGTGGAGCTGGTCGTCAGTATTCTCATGGTCAGAAGATCCGAAACTCTCTATTTTCGTAGATGACCAACGCTGCTTTAACAAGAACAAAAACTTCCTTATAACTTTTATTACTCTGGTATATTTCGTTCCGCTGAGTATAATGGGCGTAGTCTATGGCAGTATTCTGAGAATAGCAAGACAGCAAGCCAGGGGTATCAAACAGCAAGAAATCTCTAGCGATAGAAGGGAGAGCAGAAAAAGAGCCAGAGAAAGAAAGGCGACGAAAACGTTGGCAATCATTTACGGAGCATTTGTCATCTGCTGGTTGCCGAACTGTATTATTGCTATTTCATCAACTTTATGCCCGGAGTGTTTCAAAGATTTACTTGAAAATGACCGAACACTCTTCACAATAATTCTAATAACATTTGTCGAAGTGCTACCTCCACTAAATTCAGCTATGAACCCATTTATTTACGCGATCTTCAACCGGCAGTTTAGAGGTGCTTTCAAAGAGTTCCTTCTTCGGAGACGAGCGACGATCTTACTTGATTCTGATAACGGAATGTCTCGATTGCCGATTACCAAAAGAAACATATCTAAGTGGGCTAATAACCTCAACGGAAACCACCATCGACAATCAATCAAGATAGAGAACGGAAGTATCGGAATACTGGAGAACGGAAATGATTCGCTCATTCATAACGAGACTGTGTTGTGAAGTAAGAACGCGGGATTCGATGGATCCCTCCATAACATCATTTTCAAAAAAGTCATCTACATAAAATTCAAAAATGCATTTGCATTTTAATATATTGACAGACAATTTTCACTTGCAAGTCTAAAGAAAGACACAAGGAATAGACGTGGATGAGAAACAGCAGGAAGCGTAACAGAAAGTTTACAAGATGGGATGTACTGAAAGAAAAAACATCGCCGTATGAGAAAAGTCTTGAAGATCACATGTTTAAGCTAAACAGGCAAAAACAAAAAAGTTCCATAAATAAAAAGATTTAAAAAAAACTAGACAAAGGAAATTAGACAAAGGAAGTAAAAACTAGAAAAATTTATTCTCAAAACGCAATATAAAAAGGTTTATCTTCTGCATGAACTTTTGATTAGTCGTTCCTTGTACTCAAATATAGTTACTAATTAGGATGCTATAAATTCTAAACGAGCTTAAAATCATTTCCTCAAATCCATCGTAATTTCGCGACGAAAATTTAACTTGAAATCACCTTTTCTGTCTGGCACTAAGAAAGTTCGTGTTTGCCACTAAGAAAGTTTCTGTTTGGCACTAAGAGAGTTCCAGTTTGGCAATATGACATTTGACTAGTAAGGCAAACCTATTAGCAGAGGTTAGTTAGTTGTTAAGTGGTCACTTCAAACCTGACAACAACCAATCGAATCTAAATGCATCAAGATAGCAACGGTTTTTGTCCTTTCAAAACGGCTAAAGTGCTAGTGAAGTAAATAGCTGTGCTACTAAATGTGAAAAATAGCTGAATTACTTTGATAAAAAGCATAATAACCAATACAAAAGCTCGTAGAATTGATCGGTAAAAAGTGGTACTGTAGAACTTTATCTTCTGCATGAAATATAGATTAGTCGTTCCTTGTAGTTGTTGATAGCTACTCACTAGGATGCTATTAATTTTAGACGTGCTTCAAATCATTTGCGCCAATCTATTGTAATTTCAAGACAAAATCTATTCACGACAAAATTAAACTTGAAGTCAATCAGGTACAGTAGAAAATGAAGCAGAAAATGGAAAAGAAAACAAAGGATATCGATTACCTATTGTATTTTTCGCGTCCTCAGATGAAAATACAAGCCATTCAAAGCCAGTCGGCATTCTGAAGGATGAAAAAATAAAGCTACATTTTTTAAGAGCAGGCTTGCAAAGAAATGATTCGGTTGAAACCAGAATTTCTTCAACTCATTAAATGGGAGTTACTATATTAATATTAGCTCATTTTGTTTATACTCAAGTTCACTATATTTACTCAAACTTGTAGTCTAAAGTGACTTTCTGTATATAGTTCTGATAACCTTTATCAGTTAACACTTATGTTTGTTTTCAATGTTAGATGCTCTTATAATGACGTCAAAAATACATTAGCAGCATTGTCTACATTCTTTCTTAGTCATTTCTTTTTGCGGCGAGAAAAAACATGATATTTGCTGTAAAATCCAAGAAGTCCTCGTTGTAGAATCTGGCCTAATGAATAGCTTCTACACCCTACAGATAAAAATCTCAGGTAAAGGTCAAAATAATCGTAGAAAAGACTTATTCATAAAATTTTACGAAGTTGCGCTTTGTTAAAATTGAAGACAGCTTTTTGCTGTGTTCTAAAGTTCAGAACATTCGTATGTTGTCTGCTAGAATCTCTCCATATCTTCTGCAGAGAGTCTTAGCACAGGTATAGCACAATCTGTGTTCAGTCTTTTGTTAAGTTTTAATATCGTGTGTAATTCAGTCTGCATACAATCGTAGAGGACAAAACACATAAGATTGGAAATAATATTTCCTGCATTTTTGTATTTTTAGAAAGACTCTACACGTTGGTAGTAAAGATCCAATATTTTATTCGACATTAGCTGTCTAAAGCGCCAGTATCTTTTACATCTGACAGGTTACATAAAGCTCGGCTCGCATGCTCAAGCAATAGAAAAGGGAAATTCCTAATCAGTAGATTTATAAAGGGGGTCGGAGGTGGCGAACGGAGAAAGAAAACAATGAAATAATTTTTTCGTTGTAAAGGGGTGAGGCAACATAGCCCTAGCTACTGAAAATCTTCACAAGTTAGCTTTTCGCCTCATGAATCGCACTCACTTAACCTGCCTTCAAATCCACCTTGCTAGGCTTTAATTGATATAGCACAGTTTATTGTTGAAAAAAGGAAATATTGATGGTAGGCACACATGCAACACAGCTATGGATGTTACATAATTCTGGATTATGTAATTTGAGATACGAGCTGTTGCTGAAATGCATAGAACAAAACACAAACTCATCAAGAGAGATTTTTTCAGGTGGATCACTGACATTGAATCACACAACATCGGTAAAAAAGCATTTCAGAATTACTTGATTCAGATGTTCGCAGTTAAAAAACTTTGCGTGGTTTTTATAATTAAGTCGAATGGGCTTTCTTTCTTTAAAGTTTGTTCTGATGCAAGTAGTACCAAACTAACTTATGTGCATGGCGTTTGCAAATAGAATTTGATTGCTTGTAGAGAAGTAAACTTCAGAGAAATGAAACACGTTTACGTTGGCAGGCCAAAAACTAGTCAGTTTCGTAAAAGTTTTGACGCTGAATCTCCTTAAAGGATATACTTTATTTATGGAGGTTAATTAAAATTCAGTTTAAAACAGCCGTACATCGGAAAGTCTTTTACACATTTGCCAAGCAAATCTTGCTTTAGACCGCTGAGGAAATCAGGCCACAAACCATAATTCCTAGGCAGGTGTTGGCTGGTGTGTATCGCAAAACGCTTTTGCCAGTAACAAAATAAGTCGATTAAGGGATTTGTTAGCTTCATTAAGCCCACAATTTTATTATCTTGTACAGGCAGCAGAGGTCCTGAGGTGATGGCTATTCTATTACACCGTCATGTCTGCCCTCCTCATCATTCAGGCACCTTTGCAATTAATCATGCTCTTGTATATTCTTTTTAAAGCTTCTGGCGAGGAATCTTGCCGGATAAGAGCGGTAAAACATATATTCACAAATAATTCTACCTCTAATAAGCTCATACAAAAAAAAAATCTGAACACCCGCCTACCAAACCTGTCTGAGAAACATCCAGTGGTGCCGTGAAGGGGGGGCTCAGGGGGCCTCAGCCCTTTGCTAAGATTAAAGGAGATTTTAGGGGTTCAGCTTACCTAAACCCCTAGGCAAGCCAGAATATGTTATGTTCAGATATTTAAGATGGCTTCAATTTTGTATCAGGCTAGTTTCTGATATCTCAGAATCAGCTAGTTGGGAGTTTAGCCACTCGGTTTTTTAACAATTGAAGAGCTACGAAGGTCTGATTAAACAAATCCTCTGTTTCTTCCAACAACTTGCGTCATATTTCAAGAAACCTAAGGCCCGACAAACTTTATTTCTGATGCTACGTGTGTACTCACTACAAGTTAGACGACTACCTAACTGAACACAAAGGTACTTCATATCCCTAACGAATTCACTCTTTGAATCCTTTTTACTGAGGAGAGGCGGTTCAGAGGGTTCTTTAGCAGTCAGTTTTAGCTTTGGATTGGATCCACCTAGTATTGCTTGAGTCTTCAAGCAAAAGCAAAAGTTTGTTTTGGAAGAATATGAAATGGGATGCTGGTATCGTCAGTTTACACAATCACTTGGCAGTAATCATGCGCGGATCCAGATAAATCTATGACCGGGTTATATTTGAATGCATTTCATTAGGAACCACATAGGAACCTGGGATAGTCAAGTACATCCTTAGGTCTCTTAGCCCCCGAAAACAGCTACCCTCCTCTCTTCTCTATGCTAAGAATGTCCATTGTGACAGTTTTATATCAATCAGCAAATTTTGTATAGCAGATTTTTAAAGCAAATTTTGCATTGCCAACAAAGTGAAGAGTACTCAGTGGTGTCTTGGAGTGGATAGGTAACTGGCAATTTTTCGAAAATTTATTTAATGAAAAAATTTATTGAAAAAAAAATTAGTCCGTCCAAAATAAAAAGCCTTGGTACCAGAGCCGCAAAACTAACGGCAACAAAAAAAATTATTTTCTGCTCATATATTTCTGTTCCTTTGGCTTTTTGCCTTTCTGGGTCTCTTTTAGTCTTCAACAACCTTGCTTTGATTTTAGCATCTGTTGCTTCATTTACTGATTTTTTTGAAAAGTTCTTTTTCTTTTTCCCATACTCCTTCACTAAAATGCAAAGGGAGACCTTTCGATTCCTTTTCACAATTCAGTTCAATTACACGCAACCCGGTCAGAATCCGGTGAAATCTTCGTATTTCGCAATCTTGAGCGGTCTTTGACCGGGCTGAAGGCTAAAAATAACTTTGAATGAATGGGTGACCGGGTTAAGACTTTCTTCTATTACTTTCTTCTTTCTTCTGTTTGGCGACGCTGATCGGCTGCATTGACAGCGAGCGCTGTGACACAAACATCACCGTCAATAACTTGTTTGCTTCACAAAAAAGTCACATTGTTTGTGCAATCAAGATGTAATTTTGTTGGTAAATGGTGAAAAACTGAAAAATGGAAATTTCGTGCCAGAGGTGGAGCGATGAAATATCCACAATGATAATGATAAATATTTATAAGGTTAAGGGAGGTAATAATAATAATCATATCGATAAAAATTCTTCTCTCTATTTTTACTAAAACATAAAATAAATAATTTCTAGAAATCTGACCGGTTTTCTGAAACTTGTCAACCCGGTCTAGATCCGCGCCTGGCAGTTCCTCAAAGTAACTTTTTTACTAAAACATAAAATAAATAATTTCTAGAAATCTGACCGGTTTTCTGAAACCTGTCAACCCGGTCTAGATCTGCGCCTGGCAGTTTCTCAAAGTAACTTTTTTACTAAAACATAAAGTAGATAATTTCTAGAAATCTGACCGGTTTTCTGAAACTTGTCAACCCGGTCTAGATCCGCGCCTGGCAGTTCCTCAAAGTAACTTTTTTACTAAAACATAAAATAAATAATTTCTAGAAATCTGACCGGTTTTCTGAAACCTGTCAACCCGGTCTAGATCTGCGCCTGGCAGTTTCTCAAAGTAACTTTTTTACTAAAACATAAAGTAGATAATTTCTAGAAATCTGACCGGTTTTCTGAAACTTGTCAACCCGGTCTAGATCCGCGCCTGGCAGTTCCTCAAAGTAACTTTTTTACTAAAACATAAAATAAATAATTTCTAGAAATCTGACCGGTTTTCTGAAACCTGTCAACCCGGTCTAGATCCGCGCCTGGCAGTTCCTCAAAGTAACTATTGTGAGGTCGTTAACGCTGATTACAAAAACGTAGAGCCAGGCATGAACCTTTTTATCAACTAAGCAAACGATTTACTGACAATAGATTTACTGAATAGAGCAACTGACGCTTTTTTAACTATTTAAATTGGATGTGGAGCAAAATAAGGCCTTTTTGATAAAACAGTTGCCTTATCTCAACACCTTTTTCTTGGAACAGATTAAAATGTAATAAAAATCTAAAAATTGACGAAAATCGTAGAACCGGTATGTAGTGTGAAAAATGCTTGATTTGAAGAAGGATGTGGCAAAGTTAGACTTTTAATAAAACAGCTGTTTACCATCAAAAGAAGATTTAAAGCTCAGATAAGAATTATCTAGTCCATATTTCAGGTTTTAATTGCGGAAACTGGGATTGCAATAACAACAAAAATGAACACAAATACAAATGTGGGATTGCAATAACAAATGGAAAACTTTCTTGCATTGGCCTGTTCCATCACAAAATATAAAGATGAAGCCCCTTGGTGAAAAACATTTTATGGAGGCTTCATCATAAGCTAGCATTTTATCAATGTAGCACAACCTTTTTTAACAGTCAGTAGCTATTGAGTAGCAAATTGAGTAGCACATTCTTATATTAATAATTGAACAGAGGGTTTGTCATCCATTAGATTCTCTGCGTTTATAAACCCTGAAAAGTTATTCCGCATAAATGATGAAAATGTATGGAAAATCTTGACATCTCACTGTGTCGTTATTGTCACCTGAAAAAAGTGTTTTACATGATAACAAATGGACAGTTCTCCAGGCAATGAAATGCTCGAAGAACTGACTCTAGAAAGATCTTTTTCGAAAGTTTTTGAAAAGAAGTGAAAAACAAAATAATAAATGGACAAAGAAATAAAGACCTAGACAGAAATGAAAGTTTCTTCTAAGCTGCTTTAACCTCAAAAAATTGAAAAGTGATTTGATCGTGAGAACGCACTCTAAACCAAAATTTGTACACATCTTTCTCTAAAATAATAATGCAAAGCCAGGATATTTAACAAATTTAAGGATTAGAAAAAATATTTATTGACTTTCAACTAAGTTTTGCACTATATTGATTTTGTTTTAGGATTTTCCGACAATCTCCTCAAAAACTGTTAACAATGAAATTAACACTTTATTC